AGACATATTATACAGAGAGAGCCGGTGGTCTAAAGTAATTTACACATACATCATGAATACAATTAGGTATATACATATGTACATGTACATGTACGTGTATGTGTATACATGCTGTTACATTGTGATGGTGTTTGTGATGGTTCATGGCTATCAATACTGATAAGTGTGATCTTATGATGACATAACAGTATGCAGCACACTCACCACTAATAATGACTAATGATTTGTCACTATATCCTATATCTCAACCTTTGCATATTATTAATATACATATGCATTTCTCTTTATTATTATTATTATTATTATTATTATTATTATTATTATTATTATTATTATTATATTATTATTATTATTATATGTATTTCTCTTTTTCTCTCTCTCTCTAGTCAACTTTCTTATATCAAAAAGCTGCTTTTCAGTTGATGCTTAGACACAAGAGCTACCTGCCGGAGCAGGTGGACACTAGCATTACCATGGCAACCGACTCTCAATGGGAAGAAATTATGAGGTAGAGAGAGAGAGAGAGAGAGAGGGAGAGGGAGAAAGAGAGAGGGAGAGAGAGAGAGAGAGAGAGGGGGGGGGAGAGAAGGAAAGAGCAGTATCAGACAGACTTGTACATGTACATGCCTTTAATGTCCTGTGTTTCATTACATTAATGTCATTAATCACATCTTAACTTCATTAGTTCTTACAGTCTGTGTCCTAATGTCTCTAATCTCACTTTCATTCCTTAAGCACTAACTTGACCCAGCCAGTCACTGCTAACTCATACAGTGTGTCCTTCTGAACTCTGCCCTAACTCAATTATTAAATTCCCTTAGGCACTTCATCTCTACAATTTCCCTTGCCTTCTTAGTAAACATGTTGTCCCCCTCTCTCTTCGTTTCTCTTGACAACCTGTTGCTAGGCAACCAACTATGTCCCTAGCGACGGTAGTATTGGCTATATAGTCCTAGGTTTGTATGTGACTCGGCAAATAATTCGAATAATTATGTATAGTGTAACTATTGGTCACTTTATTTTATGGGCTGCTGTGTGACTTGTTGTTATAGTCTGTGTGCATATATATTGAAGCTGTATTGATTCTCATGTGCTATAGTTTGAGTCTGGTACCAAGTTTCAGGAACGAGTTTTTCACAGTGTAGCAGTTTTACGTGATGCTCGATAGCTAACTCAGTATACTAACTCAGTATATTAGCTCAGTATATTATAGGGAATGAGTTTATCATTGTTAATGTAGTAGGGGATCTTTCTTTCTTCCTTTCTCTTTGTTTTAAGGAGAGGGTCGTTATATTGATACTAAACTGAATTGAATTAGTTGTTATTGGACAAATATTGTATTTTCGTGATGACAAGTTTGACAACAAGACATAAATTCTATTGGTTTGTGTGGGTGAAAGTTTGTGGTGGGGAAATGTTTGTAAATATTTAGTTTGTAGCACACCTTGTAACCTCCTTTCCCCTCCCTCTCTCTCTCCCCCTCTCTCCTTCTCCCTCTCCCCTCTCTCTCCCCCTCTCTCCCTCTCCCTCTCCCCTCTCTCTCTCCCTCTCTCTCCCTCTCTCTCTCCCTCCCCCTCTCTCTCTTTCTTTAGGGAGATTCCAACTCATAAACAGAGGATTGCTGGTAAATCTATTCCTGTCGAGAAATTTGTCATAGCTAAAGCTGAGAGATCACTTGAAGGAGCTAGACTACCTTTATGTGGACTGGTAAGCATAATGGTACATTAAGGACACCATTGGGCCCACACTACTTGTCCTTAATACATGTACAGTGTAGCCTCTTTATTAAGGACACCATTGGGCCCACACTACCTGTCCTTAATACAGAGGTGTCCTCATTTCAGAGGTACTTTTGTATAGGCTTGTACCAATTGGGACATTATGAAATGTCCTCATTATAAAGGTGCCCTCATTATAAAGGTGTCCTCATTATAAAGGTGTCCTCATTATAAAGGTGTCCTCATTATAAAGGTGTCCTCATTATAAAGGTGTCCTCATTATAAAGGTGTCCTCATTATAAAGGTGTCCTTACTATAGAAGCTACACTGTAGTATTCACTAAATTAAATCTATGCTCTAATTAAGTGTATGTTATTCTAATTATATTGAAGACTGTGTAAATGAGTCAGGATTTATTCAATAGCCCAATTATCACTGAACCTTAAGATGTCATTTACACTTAATAGCTTTTATTTATATGTCACTAATAACTTTATTAATATGTCACTAAGTACTTACACACACACACACACACACACACATTGATGTCACCTTTGAATGTTGACATTCTCAATTAATAGTAATTAATTTAAACTGACATCACCACTATAAGTGGCTCTCATTATTTTATAAACAACTCAGTCACTGCAAGGCAGTGCAGGCCCTTAGCTTGCAGCTGTAATTAGATTTTGAAATTACCCTAACAGAATATAAAAGCTTTTAGATTGCACCACCCTAGCCTTTATAGAATCCCTGTGGTATTTACATGTACAGTGTACAGTAGCTTGGTTCTTTATTGCAACTTTAACTCTTTTTCATGTTTTTTGGCATCGTTGTTTTTATTTTTAAAAAGATTAGTAAATATTGATATAATGTCTATCCATCTGGCCTATTAATTAGAAGAGATTGTATGTCACATACTCTTACAGGTATACATGTACTTAAACTAATGGAATAAAGGACAACACCATCCACTTAACTAATAAGCTAGTCACTATCACTAGCACACGTGACACTGCATGGCAGCTCTACACATGTACCTGTACTCACACTAATAGAGATATTATCTCTTTCATTGTGAGGATAAACAGGAAAGTATGTATTTCTGATAAGACTATTAACATTCAATTGGACTATTGAACTTAACTACTGACCTACTAATATATAATTTGTTATATTTTGATTAAAAAATCCTACTAAATTAAGAGCTATTTTTGAGCTATTTTTGAGCACAAAATTAAACTACGAAAGATAGCCATTTGACACATAAGATATAATTGAGTTAATGACAATTGCAACAAAGATAAACCTTATTAAACTCTCTGTATTATATCACTGATAATGATGAGGTATACACTCAGCTACTGCTACATGTAATGTATCCACATCCTACAAGTACATGTACATGTAAGCATACATGTATATAGCTACTGCTACTGTATGTTATATGCTACTGTATATTATATGCTGTGTGTATGTTATATGTGCTGTATGTATTTCAGCACTCATTTTCATCATGTATTGACTGAGAGCATGTCTCCACCAGCAAACAGTAATGTATCAGTTTATCCACTAGCTTCTCTCACCTTCAGCTTACATCCACTATATACATGTACATGTACATCTATACATGTAAATGTACATGTATATAAGTACAATAAATATATGTATATGTATAATGTGTGTGTGTGTGTGTGTGTGTGTGTGTGTGTGTATTTATGTATGTTTTTGTAGTAGTAAAGGTTGCCTGTGTGGAATGATGGGAAGAAATGTTAAGTCAGTATGTACAGATGTAGTCTAACTGACTGATGGATCTGTAGACAGCCTAAACTGTGATATTAACAGTGAATATCATTAACATGAAGATATTATACCAACTCCACTGACTGGAGTAATTATAATGGTCACACACACACACACACACACTGGTGGGTTATGTATATATGTACATATGATAACTGATAATGTGGTATTGGTGCCATATTGTATATCCCAGCTACTGTCTGGCATTTCTTAAATAGTGATCTTGCCTCTTTTAAACAATAACAAATCCTACTCTATGATACACATACATGTAGTATTAGGACCTCATTATTAACAGGGTTCTGCCTAGAATAAAATTAGAGGTGGTTGGAGACTAATGTTGTTCGTTTTAAGCTTATGTACACCATACTAGTAGACTACAATATCATCCTTTATGTATGGCTATTAGTATTAATTGGATGGTTGGTCTAAGTGATGAACTGGTTGGTTCATTTGTTGAGGTGGTTGTCCCGACCACCTCCGACCACCATAGGCAGAACTGTATATTAATATATTATACTGAAAGTGTATTGTATATTGTATTTATGTACATGTACATGTGTCTAAGAGTGCAATTTGTGTGTATATGAAGGTATAATGTCGTATTAATTGCTTTGATAGACATTTCATACCATCTGGAGGTCATATTTGGTAATAAAGGGAAATGGTATCTGCTACGTGGGGTCTGTACACGTACATGTTTGCATTGTGTTGTGTGTGTATGTACTTTTAATGAGAGAATAGGAATTTAATTAAAAAAGAACCAGATGTCTTTCTGTATTGCAGAGAGAGAGAGGAGGAGGAGGGAAAGAGAGAGAGAGGAAGACAGAGAGAGAGTCAGCTGCTATTGTACCAATTATTCCTGGCACATAATGATGATATTTATTACATTATACTTGGTAAATAAAGTTAACCACAACAGTCATTGATATGAGTAAACAAACAGGCTGATAATCAGTATTAATCTAATATTAATCACATTTACCATAATGTCTACGCATACAACCTCTATCTCTTTCCTACTCCACCTTAATACACTATATAAAACACATTAAATGCTAATTTATAACGTGTATATTCTATATTACCATACTGTCATTATCATGTGTAAATGTTTTATTTATTTATTTTTGTCTGTCTGACCGCATTCTTAATTATATCGTACAAGTTCTTTTGTGCCGGCGGTGCATGTGTACAGTTGTAGCCTGTTGTAAACATGATAGGTTTTCCTGAAGGTTGTGGTTGAATCGTTAATCAATTTAATGCACCTTTGTCTCAAAGACACTCAAACAAATTATGAGTTTCCATTGAAATTATTATTAATAACAAGTCAATCGACACACACATACATTCACACCAACACACACACACACACACACACTAATCTAATACAATATACATAGCCTAACTTTTTGGGATAAGGACACCTTTATAATGAGGACATTTTGTAATGTCCCAATTGGTAAAAGCCTATACAAAAGTACCTCTGAAATGAGGACACCTCTGTGTTAAGGACAGGTAGTGTGGGCCCAATGGTGTCCTTAATAAAGAGGCTACACTGTACATGTATTAAGGACAGGTAGTGTGGGCCCAATGGTGTCCTTAATAAAGAGGCTACACTGTACATGTATTAAGGACAGGTAGTGTGGGCCCAATGGTGTCCTTAATAAAGAGGCTACACTGTACATGTATTAAGGACAGGTAGTGTGGGCCCAATGGTGTCCTTAATAAAAGAGGCTACACTGTACATGTATTAAGGACAGGTAGTGTGGGCCCAATGGTGTCCTTAATAAAGAGGCTACACTGTACATGTATTAAGGAGAGGTAGTGTGGGCCCAATGGTGTCCTTAATAAAGAGGCTACACTGTACATGTATTAAGGACAGGTAGTGTGGGCCCAATAGTGCTACTGATAGTAAAATGCTCATATATGTATCATAGTACACATAATTATTATATGGATATGGTATATACGTAGTACTTGTTATTGTGTTCAATGTGAGAGTGTGTGATACCTTTTTAATTCATTTATTGTTCATTAAAGGAAATGGTTTATGCTTGGAACGGCTTCCAACTCCTTTCAAAGAACAAGCAACTCCTGGAGAGTGTCCTTAGGATAGTGTGGGATGAACTGATGACTCTGGAAGAGCTAAAGGGTAAGAGAAGATGGAGGGGGGAGAGAGAGAGGGGGAGAGAGAGAGAGAGGTACGATTGATACTAATAATAATAATAGTAACGTTAGCGTTAAAAGATTAACTTGATAAAGTCATGGATTCAGCGTAACTAAACTTCTGGTGAAAGGTGTGCCGGAGACAAAAAGTGTCTGGATCAAGTTAGAGAGAATGATAATTAGGAGAGCAAGAATTAAGGATTAGTGAGAAGACATTCATCATGTATCATAGTACAATGTACAATGTATGTGAAAAAGCTACAATGAGTGGGAGCCCATAAAAGTAATGCAACGGTATCAGATATCCACTCTCAACCTCCCTCCTACCACCTGCACATAATTTGAAATGTGAAGGTCATTCACACGTAGAATGCTTTATCATGTGTACTAGGCCAAGAGTCATTCTTTTAATTTTACTACGAATCGCAAGTTTAATTTGAGAAAGTTATGCAATCACTGGATCATAGTACATATGGGAATCCGATTAACATTACTATTATTATTATTTTATTATAATTTTACCAGGTACATTGTATATATAGGGATATTGTCTGTAGTAGTAACTAGTAAGCAATGACAGGATATGGCTCTTTTATTGTCTTGCTATGTATACATGTACATGTGAATAGGAGAGAGAAGGCTATAGATCATACCAGCTTAAAATTCAAAACCACTTCTTCATATGTGAATTGACTTCATTTTGTGATTACAGCATTCATCCTACGTGATGATTTAAGTGGAATTATTACAGCTTAAATGTCAGTTTTTATCTTTGACAAAAGTACAGGGTATTGACACAGGACGTGATAAGTATATCCGCTGGCCAAGGAAAAAGAAACTGTTCAACTCTTGGAGATTAGCAGTAGGAAACGTACATGTACATGTACACATATACAAACCATTTCACTCACTGTCGTGAGAATGTGTATACATACAGATACATCATCATCATCGTCATGAAAGGTTTCTATTTTCCTGTAATGTCCTGGTGTTTTATTGTTACACGTAATTAGTACGGTCTGTATACAATATTGTCCTCCTTATGGTAATGTTCTGGTGTGGTAGGGGGTGGACAATGGGCCCACAATACAAGGCATGTGTGAATCTTGTGATCCGCTTCCTCTTTCTCTCTCTCTCTCCCTTCTTCTTTTGGTGATAGAATAAATCTAGTTACTTGTTAATGTATCCTCTTCTACCTTTTGTCTTCCTTCTCTCCCTCCCCCCTCTCTCTTATTCTATTCTCCCTCCCCCCCTCTCTCCCTCTCCCTCACAGATTCCAACAAGCATTATATTGATGACTGGTCCATAGTGACTTTGATCCAGGGCGTCTGTTTCAAAGGCTTAGAGAGATTTGATGAAGCCCAGCAGTGCTTTGAAGCCGTCATTAACAGGTGAAACAATACCTGATACTAATAACCTAACAATACACTCATTGTATAATGTAGCCTGTGAATTATCTCCCCCACACACATCTTGTACTGTTGTCCCTAAAATTGAATTTTTTATAAAATGATTTTTTGTCTCCGTGTGGATTTTTTAACTCTTAAGGAGAGTCCTCTCCTTTATCTTAAGTTTTTATGCTTAGTGTACTTACTCAGTAAATGTCTCGGTATATCCCATCATTCTGTATACTACTCAGTAAATTACTCAGTATATCTTGTTTTTCCAGCATGCCCCAGTGAGAGTGTAAGTTCACTGTGCATGCCGCCAGAAGTGGTAATTTAGATTGAGTACAATGGCTAATGATATTCATAATTTAGACTTTACTTTCCCTCCAGCTCTTATAAGCACTACAGCTCACTGTTTTTGCTCATGTGTTGTTAGATTCGTTTATTATCCTTCTTGTATGTTCTACTGCTGTTGTTTTAGTCCAGTGTAGGACTAGAAGGGGGTTATCTCTTCGATTCAGGTGAACGGATGTGTCGGGAAAGTCTTGCAATGTTGTATTCAAAACTTTCAATTGTTCAGTTTGTGTATGCCGCGATTAATGATAGCAGTGTACTTCATAATATTGATAATGGCTGTATATATTGCTGCTAATATTCCTCTTTATCTCTTTTCCCCCTTTCTTTCTTTCTCTCTCTCCCTCTCTCTCTCTCTCTCCACAGATCTGGCGAGCTTCAAGTTGACCATTACACGGCGCCAGCTGCTCAAATGGAGCTAGGCCTCCTTCACCTAGAGAAAGGCGATCTCCTCAAAGCCGAGAAAACTCTAGAAACAGCAAAGTGAGCAAATTCACTTTGTCCTTTTCCTTGTCTTATGACTGTCTTGTTGAACAGCCCAGCATTTAATCTTGCTAACTAATATTTTCTCCTTGTATCATATTTGCTCAAACGCATACCTCTTGTTTACACCTAATCATCTGCTAGTTACAGGGCCACCTTAGCCTCTCTCCCTTCCTCTCCCTTCCTCCTCTCCCTTGTCTCCCAACAGTCTGGGATTCTGGGATGCATAAACTAATCGCGAGTTTAATTAATTTATCGGCTAATTGCTTTGGGACTCTGTTCCCAGCCTCTGTTTACTCTCCTCTCTTGCAGCTGCAGCGTTATAGGGGGTAATCTGTCTTGCATTAGAGCTTTAGGAATATTTAATGTCTGATATTATCTGTTCCGTGATTACTAATTATGTTAGAGTGAACTTTTATTAATATGGCTCTCTGTCACTCTCTCTCTCTCTCTCTCTCTCTCTCTCTTCCTTTTTGATTCACACGATTGTTTCCATCTGTAGAACTGCTTATAAAGGCTATCACTTGGAGAGTAGGATCCATTTTCGTATACATGCAGGACTTTGTAGAATTTCGCATCAAAAAACTTAGCTTTAAATTATTTAATACATTATTATTATTATTATTATTATTATTATTATTACTATTATTATTATGTATACATGGTAGTCTAGCTTATAATTATTAAATAATTATAAATAATAGTGTCTCATGTAGTGTTTTATCTCTAGTGTGTTACCACAAGCTAATTTTTAAACTTCCTTTTTAAAAATCAGATAAAAATAAAAATTCACAGAGAATCATTGTATTGTTGTGCAATTGAAGTGGTCACGTGATCCGGATGTCATGGCAATGAAGGCCGGCATTGGATATTAAAATAACAATTGAGCTCAGTGCTGTCTATCTATCTCACTAGTATATAAAAGGCCAAGATCCGCTCCCACGAGTCAGTACAACTGAGAACAAGGCCTGCAGTGTTGATAATACACTGGATACAGAGAAAAGGTTATAATTGTGCAGAAAATCCGCAATCAAACAATGAAAACTGCAGGACGAGAAGCAGCAGCAGGAACTGCTGTGAACCGGCGCGTGTCACACACTTCTAGCTCGAGGAATCAGATGGACCGTGGAGCCTATGGATCAGAAGCATTCTCTATGAGCGTGAGAAGAAGAGGAGGTATACTACTACTCACTTTGGTGCTAGTCTGGAGCTCAGTATTTCAAATAGGACAATCTCTCCCGCTCAATGGAAAAGGTAAGCATTTGAATCAACACAATAATAGCAATATACTTCACTGTACTCTTGTAAGATTTGGAAGAGAAAGAGATTGTATTGTATATGTATTTGCACTGCAAGATAGCATTACAGTGCGGTCTGCTGCATGAGATCCCCAGCTGTGGCTGTTACCACATACTTAGCTAGTATCTGATAAGACCACTTAAGCACTTGAGATCTGTGAGAGAGTCCAGCCTTCCAGTGTATACAAGACTACAGTGATTTATTTTGATTGCCACTCACAGTTACTCACAATCCAGTTGAGTAGTGGCCCAGGTGCAGCAGTATAATGGCTCTCTCTTAGCTGTAGGTCATAACATGTTTCCCTATCACTTTCTATTTCTATAAACCACAACATTCACTGAGTATAATAATAATAATGAATATAGCCTAATGCAGGAATAAGAGGCTTGGGTTACCCGTATATCTGCATGTATTATCTAAAATTCCATTACACTTTTTGTAACTATGGTCAGTTCAAAGATAGAGCTAAGGTTTAAGGGGGAGGTTTGTAAGACTTGAGTCTCTGTAGTGACCATTGTGATGTTAAACACAGACTATAGACAATTGGACAATGTCTTCCAATGCAACCCAATTACAACTCAGTGTTGTGATCCTGCAATGTAAACACTCCCAAACTGTTATCACTAACAGTAGTATTAGGCCCTTTCTCACAGCAGGGACAACAGAAGGCTTCTGCATACAACCATTTAGAATCATAGTAGTGCTTACAGACTGCTTGGCAGTTATTCCATTAGACACAGTAGCTGTTTTGATTTGTGCATTCCAAAGCAAGCCTGTTCTCAACCATTAAGGCTGCAATTGTATAAAATCACCTCACTTTTCTAAGCCAAAAGTTATTTTTATTATAATAATGATACTTCATTCATCGAATTCATCCTCTTTCTCTCTTCTATAGATGTATCAGACTCACAGCCCAACTTGCAAAAGAGATCATCTTTAAGACTTCTCTGTGACCATCACATCAGGGACAGAGGGACCCTTAGCTGTAGTTTCCACGACAATTGCATTGAATCACTATATCAAGCAGGAAAGGAAGGTTTCTCATTGGGCTACGCTCTACCGAGATGTAACGCAGTCAGAGCGTTCACGCACTCGAACAGCTCTTGCTCAAACTGTCTGAGAACCTTCGGACTAGACACATGGCTCCTACAAAGTGAGCTCTGTCTTCAATCAAAGATGATCCCTATTGCTAAGAAATGGGCCGGGAAGAACAGAGGGCAAGACCCCAAGGACCGACTGAGCTTTGAGGAGGAATCCTTTCATGCACTCACCAGCTGCTACAACAAATCACAACTAGCTAACATAATCTCTTCAGGGGCTACACCTAAAGGAGACATCAAATCTGACCTAATTAAAATACTCAACTCCCTTACAATCAAGCCTTACTACAGACCAGTAGTACATCAAGTATTCCGTTCACTACTTTCCCAGGCACAGGCTCCACTTGATAAGGTGGTGCCCCCAGCTCCTACCAGGGTTTTATTTTGTGCTGTAGGAAACACAAACTCTGAGATAAGTCTAGAGACAAAGATACAAACGATGGCCGAAGCTCTTCAAAGTGGTGCACAGCAGTTCTCTCTCTCCAGTGACAATGATGAATTTAATGTGGAATGTGGTAAAAAATCTCCAGCAAACCCTCCCGAAGACAACGTCTCGCTCCAAAAAACCTTCTCCATCATCCAATGGATCCCGGATGGCAGCGAAGCAGATAACTTAAACAGACATTATTCTGAGAATCTTCCAGGCACTACAGCAAAACTCATCTTCTATGAATATGACAGAATAGAGGACTCTTACTGTGGCAATGGGTTCAGAGAAGCTGGAGAAGAATGTGACATGGGAGTTGACAACGAGCTGGATCTTGGCTGTCAAGAAACCTGTGAAGTCTCTGTTGGCTATGAATGCAGTCCAGAACAGAGCAGTCACTCGATATGCTTTGAGCCTATCTGTGGTGATGGTAGGAGAGATTCTACTGAGGACTGCGATGATGGTAACACTGCATCTGGGGATGGTTGTACCGCCTGTAGGATTGATCCTGGTTTCACATGTTCTCAGTTGTACAACGTCACTTCAGAATGCGATCCGATCCCGTCGCCTTCATCATCGTCAACGTTATCTGGTTCTACATTTTCTTCCGTGATTCCTTCGTTAAATTCTTTAACGTCGACAAGTATTCCAAGTCCGTCAAGTCTTCCAACGGATGACTCAACAGGAATTTCAGAACCATTCACTTCCTCAGGGAGACAAATACTACCCAGAACATTCATCTCTTTGCTCGTTCCTTTATTACTAACCTTTGGATTGCTAGCACTGGCTTCTAGCAGCTTAAGATGATTGTAGCTCTCTCTCTCACTATACTGCCATGGACAGTAATTATACTATAATTATTAGCAAGGAATCACAATTTGAAATTTTTAGCCTCTCTTATCTCTCTCTCTTCTTCCCTATACCCCATCCACGCTAACATTGACTGACACTACTTATAATATGACTGACTCAATTCAAAAAGTTTGTAATTTATAATATCCAAAACTTAACAGGTATTAACATTCCTGTTTTTGTCTCTCCCCCTCTCTCTCTTGTCTTACTCATCATATTTTGTATTATAGTCCTTTCTTCTCTAAATCTCCTTTCTCTTCAAATTGCACATGTCCATTCTCTTTCTATATTGTATCTCAACTTAATCACTCCATTGTAACAATAATTATTACTATTATTATTATTATTATTATTCATTATTATTGTGAACTAATATCCTTTTTAATGATCTATATTATTATTATTGACAATATTATTATTATTATGATTATTAATATTATTATTATATCTGAATCACTATCTCTATTTAAAATGACTGAAAATTTGAATCTCAATTTTTTCGAGAACATTGCTGAAAACTAAATAGTGCATCAACATGGACACAATTGCAATTTAACACAGAGAGTAAAGAGTGTCACTAAAGATCATGAGAAAGGTTGTCTCTATCAAAACAACTCCAACAATAACTGAGTGAGATCAGTATTGACAGACACTCTAACCTTCAATGGATTATACTAGCCTGGCTCCAATAACATGAAGACTCTATCAATACTAACTGTATCAACAACACACAATGCACTGTAGCTCCAAATCCAATAACAATAATATGATAATGCACCAGTATAGTCTTCAGGCATCTGTCAATTTCATGCTAATACAGTTTATAAGTATGGTAAACATGAAGCCCGCATGGCCAAATTTTTCGCTAATTGCAGACAGTTGCACCACATTATTCGAATATCACTGCTGCCTGGTGTAGCACTACAGTCTGTTATGTGATCCCTACATTCAATTGCATTCCAGTGTCCACCTACAATGAGAGAGAATACCGGAGAATGTCTACTTTGTTTTTTGTGCTGATTCACAGACAAGCAAGTCATGAAGTGGTGACTAGGCTCGAAACCATAAATAAGTTGGCAGGCAGGGTCACACAGGAAAGGATAAACCGTGTGAAAAGGGGAAAGAGCATAATCTGGAAATAAGCCCCTTTTAATAGCTACATCACACAACAGATTCTGACACACTTAAGCAGAACCGGAAAGCATAGAATATGTTCATTTTGTAACTACACAAATGAATTGATGCAAAAAATCAATTTTTCATCAACCAAAACAAGGGCATGAATATTATTTACATTATTATAAATACAATCATAGATTTTAGAGTCATAAATTAATATTGAATAAACTTCAAGATCTCACATCTTCCTCCCCCTCTCTCTCTCTCCATTTCTGCACAAGCTTGTGCCTGTCTTTAGGAAGTGTCCCAAAGTATTCTTTCTGTTCTTCTGAGTATCGATCCTCCACGTCCCCACCATCCAGTATGTCCCTGTATCTCCATTCCTCCCAGTGATAATTGAACTCTTCTAAGAGCTCGATCCTTTTCTCTCTCTTACTCACGCAATCTATCGGATCTTTGTACTCCAACTCCTCTCCCTTGACTCGAATGTCTTCAAAAATGAGAACGCCACGAAACGCAAACCAGCCCCCGTAACGTGGGTGAACAGACACACCATATATGGGCTTGTCTTCTCCCCAAGGTGCCCGTGGGACGTCCCCCCTTTGATAATAATAAGCAGAACCCGAAACATGTCCGGCAGTCTGTAATAGGATTTTCGGCCGGCGATTATGATGGAGCTCATAGTCTTGAATGAAAGTTGTTTTATATTGAGAGAAATGAGTTTGTAATTTATTGAATACGTCCCTAAAGCATTGGTCCAGGGGGTCAGACCCACCTTCCTCTTTCCTTTCGTTTTCCTCGTCTTTTAATGCATTAAATCCTTCTCTTTTATATTTTCCTCCTAGTATGAAAGGCTTCAGTAATTCCTCAAACATTTTTGGTGCGCTAATAATGAGGACAGCTAGCGTGTCTCCGTTGTATGGTAGCTTGAAGGAATCCGAGACTTTATCATTGTACCACTGGATCTATGGGGGAAAGAAGTGTATATGCATACAGTATAGCCTCTATAATGAGGACACCTTTATAATGAGGACACCTTTATAATGAGGACAATTTGTAATGCCCCAATTGGTACAAGCCTATACAAAAGTACCTCTGAAATGAGGACATCTCGTATTAAGGACAGGTAGTGTGGGCCCAATGGTGTCCTTAATAAAGAGGCTACACTGTACATGTATTAAGGACAGGTACTATTACGTGCATTAGAACTAAACTTGCAAATTAAATTATTAAATAACAATGTCCTTTTGTCTTACAACTATGGTACTTTTGCTCAGTTCTGCTTTGGGCATTTTTGCAGCTCTAAAGGTGTGGAATGCTCTCCTTACAACTTGATCCACAATACTACAAGCTAAGCTACATAAAAGGGATTTGCTTAGTCAAACATCGTGTAAGCAACTCCTAATCCACAATACCTTAAATGGATGCGCCTCAAGCCCCTTGCCGGGCAGCACCCTATCAAATTCAGCTAAAACATCCTTTAGAATACCCTCTCTGAAGGACGCCATCTTTACTATAATAAAATAGACATGCACCACCCATGTGATGGTTACTTCCCACGCACCGGAACATGCTGTAGCACTTCCTTCATTGCTTGTAGCTGCTCTGGTAAACAAGCTGACCCCCACTCTCTCTGTAAAAGAGGATATTTAAAATGGCAGAGGATGATAACAGGAGGTTAGATTAGATTTGATACTCATAATGATGACTATCTCATATTGTTGATACTTTAACTAAGCTCATAAGATTAATCTATGCCCTTGTACTTTATTTACCACTCAGCCTATTATAGATATATTAGATTAGTGTTACTATTATTAGATTAGTATAATTGATTTGTATTGGGTGGTTGCTGGCTTTTGTTAGTGTCTGCTACACTTGATTTGTTGAGGTTGCAAACTCATCACTATTCACCATATCCCATACATAGCTACGTGGGTCACTGCACAGAGACAATTTGAAGTAAAATATCCAAACTGCACATTAGTATACATACCACTGTTTGTTTGTGGGACTAAGTAATCTTTGGTTCATTGAGTTTTGTTTTTGAAATGAGGAAAATATACAAAATATATTTGCAATGTGCAGTCTTTCATCTCTCATGCCTTGCTGTGTTCATCCTCTTACTCCCTCTCTTTCTTTCTCCATTGTAGCTTTCGTGTCAATTTATTCCTTTTTGGTCTCCCGACTGATAAATCCGACATTTTTTTGCAAGAATGGAACGACTCGACTTTAAAGTCTGCCCTCAATCTTTTTGCTGACGTGGAGATTACTAGCAAAGTAGACACAAATATTTTTGTGAGGTTGAGTGGGAGGTATATAGTGGGGGGTTGAAAGACAATATGAGAACAAAATAAAAAACAATTCTAAAGTTAGAGACATTGTGGTGGAGTTTAAGTGGGTCAAAGATGAAGACAGATTATTGTCTTGTGGGCCAGACCACAATGAGTGGTTGCATACCCTAATCCTGTTATTGTACTATAGAACAAGACCAGTTACAGTGTAACTAAATAGCGGGACATGTGTCCACACACTACTGGAATGCAATAATTGTTTTCATGTAATTCCGTAACTTGAGCCCTCATCCTTTTGATGACTAGTGATATTAGTCCTCCTATTAATAGCTATACTATAGGATGATGGTGAATTTGGTTTGCATTTTCCTGGTACACGTAATGCCGTAGGATGTTCGTCTGCTGTTTACAACAGAATTGAAAGGCGTAACCCGAGCCTTATATAATGACACGAATCATTTAATGCCGCCATGCTTTAATCACAACAATGCCAAGGTCCACTCATTGTTCCCACACTGATAATTCAGGCCAATAATGGATGTGGTGTTGGATTCCTTGCAAATATTTGTAATCCAATATTTAGCTTAGTAGGATACACAAAGGCTTTTGACAACATGGATAAACATGCTTGCTGCAATTTTCCACAAATCCAGCCACACACGAGTTGCATGTTTATGGTCATGAGAGGGACAGAACATGAAAAGCATGATGATAGTCACACACCTTGACAAGCTTATTGCATACTCACCCTTTGTTGCTCTAGCTAGACCATCTGCTCAGAGTAATTTACTAGTAACTTTATGAGCAGTAGCATCTGCTCAAATTCTATTAAGTTATTATGCTAACTGAAGCCTGTCTGCAACTTATTAGTGAATTGTAATTTGCTTTTAATTGCGAAGCCCCTACAATAAGGACCTCTTTGTAGTGTAATTGGTACAAACCTGATCCACTCTGTTACTCTACTATCAGTGAACCTGCATTGGGTGCATGAACTAGAAGGCCCCCTTGCATACCTTGTCACGTACTGTCCTTGTTTGCGAACTAATAAACATAAACTTGATGATATTCACACACTCTTACTAGCACCAATAATAGGCATAGCTATTCACTGTTCACTATTATTGGGGAATATACATGTTGACTCCAATCATTCCGTATTTCCTTATTTATGTAATAGGGAGGCTTTTCTTGTCTTGTTGTCTCTATTCATTACCCAATCTCCTCTAAAGATGTACTGAAGTCTTTGAAGAGCTCAATCTTACCTTTGCTACATCCTACCCTGTACTGTAGTTTAGTAGCTTCTTCATAAAGCTAATCAACTTGTTTGTAAACTTGATACTCCATTTACAGCCAATAGCTGGTATACTGTTGTACTGTTGGTCCTGGTGATGGTCTATTAGGAGGACTAATAGTGTCTGTTATTTGTGTTTATTCTATTTGTTTCCATAGGCTAATGGTAATGAACTATCCAGCCAACTGTTTATAGTGCTATGAATTGTTTCCTGTTATGTTTTTTCTTAATATGCACATGAAATATGATTAATTTAATAATTAAATCCTGGCCTATAATGCATACCGTATGGCGGGAAATTTTGGAGGGAGTAAAATTTGGCAAATCGCTAAATTTTGGGTGATTGGTGGATTTTAATTTGGCGAATTTGTGGTCACGTGCCATTGAGCATGCGTATAATGGCTGACAATGGCAGTTTTTTATTTTGGCGAATTGCTATCAAAACGCCAATTTGCCAAATTTAATTCCCTTTTAAATTTCCGCTATACGGTATATAAATGTTTTATTTATTAGTGAAATTATTTCTCAATTGCGTGATTTATTTTTTAATTTTTTGTTAGGAAGATATTGGCCCATTGCCTGATGGAGTGATCAAGGATAATTCTCTGGCTGTGATTGTGTTGTTTTGCAACAAGAAAGAGCACAAGGAAGAGGAACAGAAAACAATAAATACAGTAAGAAAATATGTACCACTTTACCTTTTATGGTAATTATTATTATTATTATTTATGTCATTTAGAATGATGCTACAGACGAGATTGAGCTGTTTTTCAAAGCTTTCAGTGATAAGCCAAAGTTGTTTGTAATAGGAGACAACAAGGTATGGGGATTACTGGAAATATGATACGCATACATGTACTTATGTTGTTTAGAAAGTTTGAGCTGATTCCTATAAATTTGGATTTTTTATAAAATTTTTAAGTTGTTGCAAGTTTGGGCCAAATTCACAGTACAGAATTTTAGCCAATTTTTGCCAAAATTCAAAAGAAAAGAATTCTGCATTTTTATAATTTTTGTTTGATACATATACATGTACTTATGCTGCGTAGAAAGTTTGAGCTGATTTTGATCAAATTTGGATATTTTATGAATTTTTAAAATTGCTCCAAAATCAGATCAAAATCCCTGTACTATAGTACAGGTATATTACTAGGAGAGAATTCTCATCTATTTGTTATTGATTCTCATTATTGTAGCCTGATACTTGTCAATGGCCTGAAGCAGCTCAATTTGTAATGCTAGACGATATTACGCAACCTGAAGAATTAAATAAATTATTCAAGACAATAATACTAGAACCATTACTATTCTCAATGACACAGACTGATATTGATAAGGTATCCTTTACTTGATAGTCACAATTATATACATACGTACGTACAATGTATACGCATTTATTTGAAACATAATGTTACTCACTGTGTTATTTATCAAGATATTCATACAGTAACATGATAGCTGCATGTATATTTATTTAATAATATTTTAATTTAATAAAAGCTTTATAAATTTAATGATTAAAGTTTATATTACAAATTTTTTTGTAGGTGTCGTCATTAGCTTGTGTCAAAGGAGAGAGCAACACACTTAAGCTATTTCTCGGATTGCACCAGACCCCGCCCACAAACACCTGGTTGAAAAATATACTCGACGAGCTCCAGTCCATGTCCTGTACCGATAGGGGCGTGGATAAGCTCCTAGACATTGCGGAGCTGGCGTATAATCTTGACAGCACACGCTCAATGGAAACAGTCCAAGAGAATTGGTCAGCCACACCCAGATCAGCTCTTCTCGTGTTATCAAAATTTGCTCGGCAGTGCAACAAGAGGTACGAACAGCTTCATCTCTCGTATCAGTCCATCTCCAATCTACTTCCTCAAAATATATCGGACACTCTATATACTCATATTAATTTATCACATAATAATATGAAATCAGTACCAGAGGAGTTGTTCCAATTACAGCGTCTTCAGTATCTTGATTTATCTCATAACGCTATCGAGAAACTGCCCTCCATGTTGCGATGGAACTGTCCCAAACTGAAAGAGCTCAATTTATCGACCAATCAGCTTGCAGACGAGAGGCGTGGCATCATAAAGGGAGCGACGGAGAGAAGACGTTCACATATAGAACCAACTGACCCTCATTCAGTCCCTCAACAAAGGGTACTGCAGTTGACAAGTCACAATTTATATTCATGTGTATTTTCCCTGACCACTGTTGATCTATCTAATAATCCAAAACTAACTCGACTACCTGATTGGGTCTGTGTCTTGCCTCATCTAGTTCGGCTCAATTTAAAAGGAACGCCAAAACTTCAAGAGCTTCCAAAAGCACTCGCAAACTTTAAAGACCTCTCGTTTATATCGGTAGATCCTCAAAACTTTCTCTCTCCTCCAGCTAAAGTATGCAGTCAAGGATCAGCTGCTATTATTGCTTATTTGCGCTCTCAGTTACGAGGCTTGAGTGCTTATAGACACATGAATATAATGCTGTTAGGCTGGGGGGATGAGAAGAATAAAATAGCAAAAGAATTAACGTCACAGCAGAAAAGGCAGACACAGTCTTCACTGAGCTCCATTGAAAGAGGCTCGTACGATTATAAAGGAGAAACCCTTGATCGAAATGTTGTTAAAGTGACATATCACACGATTAACTTTTCATCAGAAGCAATGGAGTTCACTCTTTATCAATGCTTCCTTATTTCTCGCTGTATCTATCTGTGTATTTGGAACCTGTCAGATGGTAAGGAGGGGCTTCAGAGGCTCGTACCAGTACTACGTAACATACAGTCCATGCTGCCTGGGTCTCGGGTTTTATTTGTGATTGTACACAGCGAAGAAAAACCGGAATTAATGCTCAATCAGATTCTCTCTTGGGAGTCGGAGGTCCTTGGGGTACCAGAGCCAATTAGTCTTTACGATGAGACGTATTCCAGTTCTTATGGGTATCCTTGTATCGGGCAAAGGTTTCTAATTAATCTAAGTGTGGGCTCTGAAATTGAACAGCTCAAAGCAATCATACATCAGCAGGCTGGGGAGCTAAAGGTTCCAAATTCCTCAGAGAAACTCATTGAGGAGTATGTCCCTCGATCTTACAACGGACTACAGAGCCACGTCGAGTCGAAGATAAAGCTGCAGGTGACGCTTGTTAGATATGGAGAGTTTGTTGATAGTTTTAGATCCTTTAGTCATCAGAGTGGTGATCTTAGCGATGGTGGCAAGGAATTCACTTTAGCCTGCCAGTTCTTGCATGATTCAGGAACTGTCTATCACTATCATGCTCCAAATACAAATCCTACTGCTGATTTGTTTATTCTCAACCTACAATGGCTCTGCAATACGTTGGCTAAGATTTTATATAAAGCAAAGAATGGCTCTGCTCCTGTTTTATCTATGACTGTCCTTCAGTCTTTGTTGTGTAGTATAGGACTTGTTACTAACTATCACAGCGCACTCATTGGGATTATGATTAAGTATAACAAGCTTGTACCACTCGATATTGGACGTTCCCGTTTCCTTTTTCCCTCGTTGCTCCCGTCCCTCCCTCCTCCTCACTCATCCTATGACATGACCAAGGACGAAGTCGTGTCTCGGAAAATTTTATTTCGCTATCTCCCGTGCTGCTTCTTTTCACACTTTGTATCAAGAGTCCTTAGTTATATAGACCAGGCTGGAGCTCAGTTAGCAGTAATGGCTCATCCTAGTAATCCTCCTGGACCTGCGGAGGAGAAGAGAAAGAGGAGCTCTTCTTTTAGAAATACCAACAAGTACAAGTTGTCTCGTCGTAGCTACATCATCTCTGAGGACTCTGAGGATGGAGGAGCTGATGCTTCTAAAGCTATTAGTATATCAGTAACTACAATGGATCGCCAGGCACAGTGTGGAGACGCCATACGGTCTAGGCTAGACTCAGTATCAAAGTCACTTCCTAGACGGGAACAATTTTCGACCAACGAAGATTCCTGGACCACCATGTACATGTTTTCCCGCGCCCTTATATGGAAGGACGGCTTCCATTTGGAGTTTTTAGACGGGACCTTATGCTGGGCCGAGTTTTTCAACGAGTCCGTATCGATCATTTGTAAAGGAGATGAAAAGGCTAAAGTTAAGTTGCTTGCTTTTCTACTTTCTTGCGTTCAAGATATTTGCACCGAATGGTACATTAATCTGCACAGGGTACACTACTCTCCTTGTTACTCTTGTCTCAAAAATGATCCGGAGAAAGCACCTTTTTATTTTAATCTCTCTCAAATCTCAATGGCAACTGATCAAGTCTTGACGTGTGAGAAGTGTCAAGCAGTGAGTCCGCTACGTAGACTAGCTCCTGATCTCCTGCTCACTGATTTCTCGGGAGAATTGAGACTGAAGAAAGAAAACCTTGTTTTTGACAAGTCTGAGAAGAGCTTAATTGAGAAGCAAGTAAGAGACTTACATTATATAATTTATTATTATTATTATTATTATTATTATTATTATTATTATTATTATTATTATTATTATTATTATTATTATTATTATTATTATTATCATTATTTTTTATCAGGTTTATAAAGGTACTTACTATAATCAACCAGTTGCTATCAAAGTATTTCCAATTGATTCTTCTGCTAATCATTTCACTGTATTGAGACTACATCGCTCAGAGCTGTCCGTTCTAACCAACATAAGTCACCAGTACTTGATCAGTACTGCTGGTTTCTTAACTGCTCCACTCTCCATTGTATTTCCATTGGCTCCATTAGGATCGCTCCAGGATCATTTGGATTTATGTCCTAGTGGAATTGGAGATAAAATATCACATGTCTTGCTTCATCAGGTATGCCAATCCTAATGCTCGTAACTTGAAAAATTGAAGTCGGAATCAGCTCAAACTTTCTACACAGCATAAGGACATTAATATGTATCAGAAAATTAAATAAAAATTGGGGGTCATTTTTTAGTCATTTTTTGGAAAAAACCATGGGCTATAGCCTTGGGTATTTTTCAGAATTTTGGCATTTTTAAAAATGGCCGTAACTTGAAAAATTGAAGTCGGAATCAGCTCAAACTTTCTACACAGCATAAGGACATTAATATGCATCAGAAAATTTAATAAAAATCGGAAGTCATTTTTTAGTCATTTTTCGGGAAAAAACCATGGGCTATAGCCTTGGGTATTTTTAAGAATTTTGATAATATATTAAAATGGCCGTAACTTGAAAATTATTTGTCGAAATCAGCTCAAACTTTCTACACAGCATAAGGACATTAATATGTATCAGAAAATTTAATAAAAATTGGAATCCTTTTTTTAGTCATTTTTCGGGAAAAAACCATGGGCTATAGCCTTGGGTCTTTTTCAGAATTTTGACATTTTTAAAATGGCCGTAACTTTAAAAATTGAAATCGGAATCAGCTCAAACTTGCTACACAGCATGAAGACATCAATATGCATCAGAAAATGTACAAAATTGGCATGAACTATAAGCATATGGTCTTTTCAAAACTGCTTTAAAAATCACCCCTAATTTTTATTTGATACAATTTGAGCAGACACTGACAATAGTTTATAAAGCTATGAGTATTTTAATCATTCATTATTATAATCACTCAGGTAGCCCAAGGTTTGCAATACTTACATTCTCTTCACATTATCCATCGCGACATTAAACCAGGGAATATACTGGTTTGGTCTCTAACACTCAGTGATGGCATCCTTGTTAAGATCACTGACTACGGATCATCTTATTACATTGATACTTTCGGTTGTAAGGGAAGCAGAGGTACTGAAGACTACATGGCACCAGAGCTATATCTATCAGCGAGGAAAAGGAACTATGATGAAAAGGTTGGCAGCTTAAAAATTTATACTAAGTTTTAATTATTTTTACTATTTTTAAATACAAATTTAATCAATTGCCTATATATAAAATTTAATCAATTTCCTGTATATAAAATTTAATAGTGCTAGTAAATAATTTAAATCACTGCAAAAATCAGAGTATTTTTATGTTTCAAAACCACTTTTTTCTTTCCTTTTCAAGGTCGATATATTCTCGTTTGGTATTTTACTTTTTAATGTCGTGACTGGGAAAAAATTTGCACCAAATTTCAATCGGAGTCGTCACGAGGCCGGAGGAAGAAGAGAAGCTTTCCTCTCCATCCCTCACTTAAGCATAATAGCGTCAGCCATTGAAGAACAACGACTAGTAGGAAGCAGCAATCAATCGCCTGCTACTTTGCTATTAAAGGACGGAGTGCACCCAGCTGCTAGAGAAGGACATATATCAACGTGCATTTCAACTTGCATGCAAGTCATTCTAGAAGATTGTTTGTCAATTGATCCTATAAAAAGACCAACAGCTGAGGGCGTGGCTTCTAGACTTGTAATCTGCGTAGGTCCCTATACTCAAGAGAAGTACGTACTAGATCAGAATTGGCACATACAGGAGGCGGTGTTTCTACCAGAAAAAGGAGAGATATTAGCTTGGGAGCGAGATGGACAGAGACGAGTTGTATCGATAAACGAGGAGACATTCTCCACTGAACTTTTAATGAGACCAACGACCATTATCACAGAGACTTGTCTTCACATGGCTATAGTTTGGAACAAGCTTTTCCTGGTCACGTCAAGCAAGCGAGTCTATTGCTACTCCTTACCTGATTTTACTCTTTTATCTTCTTCAAAAGAACCTTTACCAGCTCAATCCTCTTGCCTCTTTGTGTCTTGTGATGCAAGCATGGTCGCTGTAGGTATGGAGGGCGGAGCAGGTGGTCGTATTGCACTATTTACTGCTTCGAGTGAAGAGGGAGGAGCTTCGGCATTAGCCACACCTCCTTTGATAATGAAACCTTTTGATCATCTGAATAAAAGAAGAGGACAAGTATCTTCTGGTTGCTTTTGCGGCGATTCTAAGATCCTCTGCGGAAGTGGGCGGTATCTTTTTGGACTGAGTCTGCCAAAGATGAAACAGGTTTTTGTTCACACGTTAAGTGATAGAGGAGGGGAAAAGGGCGGAGCCAAAGGAGACGAAGAAAGTGTCATTGAAGGAATGGTATTGTATGGTCGCTACTTGTGGGTGTGGTTTTCAGATCATGGAGAGATTGTTTTGTGTGACGTGGAAACTGGAGAAAAATTGAATTCGATAGAACTTGAGTAAGGATGCAAATATTCAATATTCATATCAGAAAATGTATTTTATTACTATTGTTATCAATATCATTGTTTTTCTTTTATATTGCAGGGTATTACTGGGCGATTCTATACCCAGTAAGGAGACTAGTTCCCGGGTCTTACCTGCACTAGTGAAACCCACTCCTCATGCGATGTGGATTGGTACCAATCATGGACACTTATTTGGATTCTGTCATGTGACATTTAACCTGCTAATAGCCGTGAAACAGCACTCCAGTATAGAGTCTATAGTTAGTACTGGTTCCGATTGTATACTGGCGTTTGGTCAATGGGCTTGTGACGGGAGCCCGGAGCACAGTAATAGTAAGAGCAGCATTGGTGGGTTCTCAGTTTGGAGGCTTCACACTGATAACATAGTGTCTAAGCAATAATTATTTATTTATTTTATTTTATTATTATTATTTTATTAATATTATTTTTATGCATGTCTTATTTTTTATAACGCTGGTATTAATATTGTTCTCCTTTTTAATATTAAAAAAAATTTTTAATCAATTACTGAAAAACTTTGTGTGAAGTAAAAAAATTAAAACAATAATATTTGCCATTTTGACAGTCTACAAGTATTTGCTTATTTCTTTTTATATTTATTAGTTGCTGGATCCCAGACTGCATCCTCTCCAATGTAACCAAACAATATCTCAAGATACTCTTTTGGTTTCTGAGGTACGTACACACTAACACCTTCAAACTTCGACTCCACTAAAGGGAACAGGACATCGTCAGGGAATTCATCATTAATTCCACCACCATTGGTATGGAAATTAGCACTCCAGCACCCATTAGCCTCATTCCTGCTGAATGTTATGACATCAGTGGAAGCATCCCAGAAAAACGTGTCTGATTGTGGCTTAGGTGGTATATGTATGTGGTATGCAGCAAGCTTTTTTGAACTTTTAAAGGAAGGATCGTACGGTATGGAGATTTCATCTGTTACCCACACAAATTGTGTCTTGTCAGTTGGACCTTTATTCTCAAGTACAATGCTGCTTGGCAGTTTAGCCCTGTTCCTCCATATTGCTTGCAAGTCATCTTCCAACACGCTAACATCAACATCATAGTCATGAGGCAACATTGACTGGTTCCTATACCAACCTAGCAGTGTACCATCCGACAGCCACCACTTCACTCTCATGCTATTAAGAAGATCAGCAATCCCAGCAAGCACCTCTAGCCTGTATGGTTTGAGTATTGTGGACTCCTTTATCAAGAGCTCCTTCTCACTTTCTAATATACCATAGTAGTTGATCAGCTTCTTTCCTTCACTATTAGAAGTCCTTTCTTCTTTTCTCTCTACAATGGACGTATAATCTGCTCTATACATTGCTCCCTTTGCTGTACTATCAGGCTTTCTGCTTCGTAGAGACGGTGATTTATTGCATAATGATAGATAACTAAGTCATGCATAGAGCTATAACTTCATTATGATATGCTGATTGAGGGTCCTGAGTCATATTGTTTGCAAACAAGTTCAAAGCAAAGTATGTTTATATGGGAAGTTCAAATCAATAATTACTATCAAGAAGTTTCAATGAATTATTGTCAAAATTATTTTTTAAGACATGCAAACTGATTGAAAGTATCAGACTGTAATCAAAAAACTTTGACGAAAATAAACTAGTCAGCATGTACATTAGTCTATGCATCATCATTCTTCTTCTTGTACTTGTTAGTTGCTGGGTCCCAGACTGCATCCTCTCCAATGTAACCATACAATATCTCAAGATACTCTTTTGGTTTTTGAGGTACGTACACGCTAACACCTTCAAACTTAGACTCCACCAAAGGGAAAAGAACATCATTGGGAAACTCACTGTAGCTCAAGTGCATTCCATTCACATCAAAATTGCAGTGCCAAATATCACGAGTTGCCTCTTTTTGATATGAGATGATATCTGTTGGTGCCAACCAAAAAAATGTGCCAGATTCCGGCTCTGGTGGTAACTCGAGGTGATAAGCAGCGAGTTTTTTTGAGCTTAGAATCGTTGAATCATAAGGTTTAGAGAACTCATCAGTGACCCAAATGTATCCACCATCATTACGACACATTTTGGAGCTCTATATTTGTAGGTAGTTTAGCCCTGTTCTTCCACACTGCTTGTATGTCATCCTCAGTTACACCAATGTCCATATCATAGTCGTGTGGGAGCATTGACTGGTTGTTTCTATACCAGCCTAGCAGTGTACCATCAGATATCCACCATTTTATTTTCATGGTGTTAAGGAGGTCGACGACTGCAGCAAACACTTCAATCCTGTAAGGTTTGAGCAAAGCAGACTCTTGAATCAGGAGCTGTTTTTCACTCTCCTTTGTACCACGTGTATCAATTTTACTCTCATATTCTTCCTTAGCTTCTTCCTCCTCTTTATTGATGCTGCTGGAAGTTCTTTCTTCCTTCCTAGAGGTATAATCTTCCATTTTATCTGCTCTGTGTGTCATTTTCTAGTCTCTTTGCTTTCTTTCTTTCTTTTTGAAGATGTGGTTGGCAAAGTGTTGTGTAGTAGATTACTATTTAATGTTTTGTGTAGCTTCTGTTAGCATATTATAGAATACTTTGTTGCTATGATCAAAGGATGTATACAGGATGATAGATAGCTCTGCTTACTGAAATAATTCAAATCACAGTCAGTTCATAATCAAGGCAAATTTTAAGTCAAAATTTAGCAAGATTCCTACATGTAAAAAAAAACAAGACCCCTTAATTTTGCAACTGATGTTTTTCAGTGCCTTGTGCCTTCTGTTTCCATCATTATACAATATTTCCATTGCCACTGTTTGTCATTATATCAAAGCATGTCACAGGATATTATTTAAACCCAAAATTAATGTTAATGACAGACTAATTAAAAGTGTCAAATTAATAATCAGCATGTAGATCAGTTTATGAATCACTTTTCTTCTTGTATTTACTAGTTGCTGGATCCCAGACTCCACCCTCTCCAATGTACCCGTACAATATCTCAAGATACTCTTTTGGTTTTTGAGGTACATACACGCTAACACCTTCAAACTTGGACTCCACCAAAGGGAACAGAACATCGTCAGGAAATTCATTGTAGCTCAAGTGAATTCCATTTATATCAAAATTGCAGTGCCAAATATCACGAGTTGCTTCTTTATGATACGAGATGATATCAGTTGGTGCTATTCAAAAAAAGGTGCGACCAGATTCCGGCTTTGGTGGTAACTTGAGGTGGTATGCAGCAAGCTTCTTTGAGCTTAGAATTGTTGCATCATAAGGTTTAGAAAACTCATCAGTGACCCAAATGTATCCACCATCATTACGACACACATTTTGGAGCTCTATATTTGTAGGTAATTTAGCCCTGTTCTTCCACACTGCTTGTATGTCATCCTCAATTACACCAATGTCCATATCATAGTCGTATGGGAGTATTGACTGGTTGTTTCTATACCAGCCTAGCAGTGTACCATCTGATATCCACCATTTTATTTTCATGCTATTGAGAAGATTAACAACTGCAGCAAACACTTCAACCCTGTAAGGTTTAAGCAAAGCAGACTCTTGTATCAGTAGCTGTTTCTCACTCTCCTTTGTACCAAAGGGATCGATTTCCTTGTCATTTCCTTTGTTTGCTTTTCCCTCCATTTTTCTATTAGGCCTACTCAGCTAATGACTGTAGGCTGGGGAATGGTCTGCACCCATAGGATTTGAGCCAACAATATCATATAATCATAATCATAATGGTTTACAGCAAAGAGGTTATAAAAATGAAATAAAATAAGAGAAACACAAATGACTGATCACATAAATTGTCAATTAATCTCATTGAGCTGATGAAGAACTGGCAGCCTGCACTTCTCTGTTCTTCAACACTTTCTTTGGAGGTGCTTTATAAGCACGCCTTAAAATCTGTTGTCTCTGAGTTTCCATGTTACTTCTTCCTTCCATCTCTTCTTCGCGTTCTTCATCTTCTTCAACCTCTTGCAGTTCTCTAATTTTCTCTAAAGTTGCAACAGCCTCAAAAGGTGATGTGGTGGAAAGTAAGTGTGGCGGTAAGTGATACGAAAGATTAAGTTTGAGTGACGTGTAATATCTGAGAGACTCTTGAAGTTTGCTAATGTCAGATAGGATGTTTTTCTCAAAATCCATCCGTGAGTTTTCTCTTAATGCAACCAACTGCTTGTCGGCTGTCTCACTGTGCTGTCCAAGACAGAGTTTTTGCCTTTCGGCACAGATGAGGAAAGCAGACAGGCTTTTGAGTTTGCACAAGGCAAAATCAGGATCAGCATGTCCTGCTGATCTTAGGTACATTTGAAACTGTTGGAATACCTCCCAGTCTGAAATGCTTAGACGAATCCTAACAGTCCCTGGCTGTGAAACAAAAAGACTGTACAACATGAATATGGCCCCAACTCTTTTGTACAGTGAAAATGAAGGATTACTGACTATACTGGTAGAAGTGCATAAAATACTCTCCAAATACGTGTCCCTTTTCACCAGGTACTCATTGTTGACGTCGTGTATGTAGTAAAAGTGATATTCTTTCCATAGTTTCTTAAATTCATCAAAATCCAGGCGTTCTTTAGAAGAGAAACTGTTTAACAGTTTCATTGCATCTCTTGTCATTGCAGCCTCCATCTTGTGGGCGTAGCCAATAATGGGCGTGGTTTAGGAAATAAAAACTTGCAAGTCTCATTCTCATTCTGTTTTCCTTCTCATTCTCATTCTGGCGGGAAGAGGCGGGGAATAATTAATAACAATAATGGAGGCAGAAACACAGTAAATTCTTCCATTTTTGAATCTATTCTTAAGTTATTCTCTCTTTCCTTTAGGCCAGCTGGGTCAGGAGGAGAAGGAGAAGAAGTAGAAGAGTTATTAGCCCAGGGAAGGAGATATTACATTTGCTCCAATTTCTCACTTGCGTCTCAATCATTTCAAGAAGCTTGCCAAATGCTGTAAATCAAAGATTAGAAAATAAAAGATTAAGAATTATGTATTTTTGGTTGTCAGTAATTTTACATGTAATCGTATATATAATTGGGCCGATAAAATACATAATTGGGGGCGTGGCTGATCTATATTATAAATTGGGGGTGTGGCTACATGTATATTTTAAATATGTATTTTTTCAGGAGTGAGAAATATGGAGAAATGTCAAAAGAGTTAGTAGAACCGTATTATTGGTACGGAAAGTCTCTACTGGAACAGGCAAGGTATTAACTAATATATATTTAGTAATTAATGTTTTACCACACCCATTTTTTCTCAGACAGGAAAGTTGTGTGTTAGGAGGCGGAGTCCCTGCCCCACCCACAGCCACACAATCAGACTCATCGTCTGATGAGGAGGAGGAGGAGCCAACAACATCTAATGATCAAACTGAGGACTCCGCCCAAACGGAGGCCACACCTACTGAAGGAGAGGGATCTCGGGAAGTGGAGAATTTTAAAGAAGCCACGCCCACTGGAGGGGAGGAGTCTAAAGAAGCCACGCCCACTGGAGAGGAGACAGAGGAAGATAAAGATGTTAGTACGTTACAGCTGGCGTGGGAAGTGCTGGAAGTGGCAAAATTAATTAGCCAAAAGTAATAATTAATTGATAGATTAATTAATTAATTGTTATTATTATTATTATAGTTTACAGTCGACTGATTATCAACTTTTATTAGCGGAAATTAATTTACTGCTTGGAGAAATTGGACTGGAATCTGGTAATTATAATTTTACTAATGCACATGCATGTACATGTACATACTGAATTTTGCAAAATTTGGCCCAATTCTAGAGCAACTTTAAAGATTTGTAATATACTTATTTAGATCAGTATGATCAAGCTATTGAAGATTTCACTACTTGCCTACAGATCAGGGAGGCAGTTCTTACGGCTGATGATAGGAAGCTGGCTGAAATGTATGGAGATGTGACACCAAGTCTTTAATTTCTATTCTCTCTCTCTCTCTCTCACTTTCTCTTCCAGACATTTTAATCTTGGCTTAACGTATTCTTTGCTTAAAAGGCCACAAGAATCAGTAGCAGTAAGATCTATGCTTAATTTATTTTTATTTTTTTACAGTTTGTGGCACAAAATAGTGTGACATTTTATTTGTGTATATTTTATGCCCAGAATTATTATTATTATTATTATTATTATTATTATTATTATCATTATCATTATCATTATTATTATTATTATTATTATTATTGTTATCATTATTATTATTATTATTATTCATTGTTTGTTACTCATTTTAGGAGTTTGGTTTAGCTAAACAAGTTTTGGAGTTACGAAAAGGTAATTCTAATTTTAATAATAATTATTATCTTTTAATAATGCATACTCTTTATACTAAATGTATGTACATTCCAGCTACGTGTTACAAGCCTCAGTAACAAGTAATGAATATCATTATAGTCCGACCCACGATAGCCTTGTAACGTTTCATGCATTTATAAAGAGATCAGTAAAAGTACATAGACTATGTAGTTACTATTATTTTTACCAAAAATTTTTGAATGGGCAATTCACTGCAGTTGCCCTAATAAAATAATTAAACAATTAAAAGATTTATTATTAGCTTGTAATTGATACCCACACATAATACAATAACACGTCCACTTGTAATTTATAGCTTTTGCTATAATATATATACCAATATTTATTGCCAGTCCTGTGGCCATTCTTTTTTGTTATTATCTTCAGAGAAGTTACAGTCTGACGCAGACAAGGAAGCAGTGGAGGGAGAGAAGACGAAATGTCTCAAAGAAATTGACGAAATAAACGACCTTCTTCCTGACATTGAAGCAAAGGTGAGCTCAGGAATGGGAATGGAAATTCGAGAATGAGAGTAATTTGTTATATAATGAATAATTATTTTTTAAAGAAAAAAAATATTATTAATAATGGGAAAGAAAAAAGTAAAAGTGTCTATATCATGTGTCTTTATAATATGTCCGTTTCATATCCAAGCTTGGCTATATCTCTCTCTATGTCTTGTCTTTCTTCTTGGGTTTGAGCTTCAGCAAGAGCAGCCATCTTAGATAAGTAAGTATCATCTTTGTCATCATCGTCAAAACGAGTTCTTTTCAAATTTGGTTCTTCGTCTTCGTCTTCCTGATCTGCAAAATCAACACCTTCTATAACTTTCCTACCCTTTTTCAACGGGCCGGCTCGTTGCCTAGCAATGGTTGCCATGGTGTCCTTTACGACACCGCCCACGTCTCCTTTTTTAGAAATGTCTTTTAGGAGGGCAAAGGCGGATTGGTATACCAGTTGCCGAGGGGAGTGGCCAGTTGCTATGGACTCTAGAGTCGAGCAGATCTCTTTTAAGTTGAGGTCGGCCGTTTTGAAGTGATCGACGATATCGCTCAAGTACCGTATCACTTCTAATTTAAGGGACGGGTCATCGTTGTAACCGACGAAAAATTGAAGGAACGATACCATCTCCATGGCAACTGAGGGAAGGTAGAAAGGGTCTCCAAAATCAACGAAATCTAATTGGACCAGAAGTGATTTGAGTTGAGATGAAGTGGGCGGGTGAACGTGATACTGTCCCAGTTGAGCTTTTAATTTTCTTATTTCTAAAATAGCTCCAGCAGATACTCCCACGCTCACAGAATCTTTGCTAGTCCCGCCCATTTTAGCCTTATTAGCCACGCCTATTTCTCTCCTTGCCCTCTCTTCGGCTCCGGATTTGAGTTCCTTGAGGTATTTTACGGAGTACAGATCCGGATTCCTGTCCACTATATCGTGACAGTTGGAGCAGAGCCATAGCCCGTTCTTTACAGAGGACCTCATCTCGCTATCCATTTTACTATCATACCTCGGGCCACCTTCTGCTGCGGCCGTTATGTGCGCTGCTTTCCCTATATTGGTGTAGCTGTAGGGCTTGTCGTTAGGGCCCCACGTGTTGCAGCCACACATTGAGCAGCGACCCCCAGAGCGACGGGAGAGAAGCTCAACAGTCTTTTTTGTAAAGTCGTCCCGCCTCGACATTTTGAGGACTTGTTTATTATGGGCATGGCTAATTATTTGGTCCCACCCACAATTAATTAATAAATTTTTTGCAGATTGTGGAAGAACTAACTGTAGCTGATGAATCAAAGAAAGCAGGAGGTATTAGTTTAGAAGAAGATGAAGATGATGAAGAGGGTGTTGTAAGTGTAATTTGGTATGATACTAAAATTGATTTCAATTGCAGTCTTGCAGTTCCAGTGGTTTTAATACCATCAGTAGCACAGGAATGAATATATTCACTGGTTTCAATCAAGAAGTATGTGTATATAGTATACTAGCAGCTAATAGAGCTGTAATATGCTTAAAACTCCAGTGTGGAGTATCATTTTGCCTGTATAATATCATCTTTGTCATAATTATATTTGTTTTATTGATAGACTGCATTAAGTAATGGAGTTGTGTCCAGTAGCACCAGCAGCAGTTCATCATCGGGACATGCTCCTCCTGTTAATGATATCAGTCATTTAGTGAAGAAAAAGGTTAACATCTAGCATTGTTACCAAAAGTTCCATGTATATATTTTTTTGGGAAACCCTGCTTTACATGATATTTATGTGTTGTATGTATACAGCCTAAAGTATCTGACCAACAAAGCAAAGAAGAGCTACCAGTTACGACTAATGGCTCCTTGTCGCATAATGAAGCAGTGCCATTGAAGAAGAGAAGAATAGTAAGATAGAAATGATACCATACAACTGCAGCCTTTTTGAACAATAATAGTCTCTCACTACAGTAGCAGAAGATGGAGCTGATGATCACCCTGCAAGAAAGAAGGTCCCGTCACTCCTGACTAATGATACTGGGGAACTTACTGAAGCAGATTCCACCACCACCACCCCAGCAGAACAATAACTTTTAATCTATATAATGAACTGATTATTATGCATGACATCACTGAATCCATTGTACATTCCACACTTATTTCACAGCTTTGATTACAAGCCAATATTAAGAGTATAATACTCACCATATCTGCACTCCTTGCATTTGCTTTATTGAAAGATGCTCTGCCTTCTCTTGCTTGCTTTTCCTTTACTCTTTACAGCAACAGATTCTACTAATTGTGCTAATGTGGTTGGACAAGAAATACTTGAAGATACTGGTGGGATTAATCTTTTTGTTGATGCTACTAACAGTAAGATTATAACTGAGAGTAACAATAGTGTATAATTATATTGGTGACTGTAGTTCCTCAAATACCAAGTTTTGCAGCTCCTAATGGAAGACTGGGTGTGATTGAAAATGGTGTAGTCAACCCTTTTCTGTCTCAATCCGAAGGGAGTAGCTTTTTCACCTTAACCAGCTCATTGAGGAAAATACCAATGTTTATGACAGCTAGCTCAAAAGTAACAATTATACATACATGCTTCCGTATCTAATTCATTCTCTTTTTTCTTTTAAGCTTTATTATTCGTTATCTGTACTATCGAATGATTCAGTTGTAGCAGGTCCTTTTACAACTATTACTAATAATATTGGAGTGATATTACCAGGAAGTGATACAAGTTAGTTAAATGTGTACACGTATATAGATACCAGTATACATTGCCTGTCTATCAATAGGTGTTAGTGTTGATATTTGTTGTAAGAGATCAGGTTCTATTGTTCTTCAAGGCTGTCTCACAATTGGTACAATGCCATTGAATGTATTAGGTGGTGCATATAAAACACTGCAACCTTTCTATGCTTCATATGAATGCTTAGGTATATAAGCACTTATCAATTAATGAAGATGATTATTATTGTTCTTTTAGCTGATGATGTGAGAGATTGTACTGACTCTCCTCCATTGTCACCGCTCATTTCTGAGCTTTGTTTTGGTAGAAATGTTACAAGAGAATTAGTGGACAGCAGGCAAGGCTCCTGGGGCCTTTTTCTATGTAAGAACAACATAATTAATAATTTACACTGTCTTCTTTATCATGCAGTGACTTATACTGACAATAGTTTCTGTCCTATTGATGATAGTTACCCGAATAGCATCACATATTTTTTAACGGATCCAGCTTCTAATTCTCTTTTCCCTATCAGTCCAACCATACCAATCCTCTACTTGTTTTTTGAAAGGAATGCCAATGATCTAAGTCTCAGTTGGGATGGACCGGTAAGATGAAAAGAATGAATAAATTATATTGCACAACTATCTCATAATGTTTTTTAGATTGGTTACAGTTTTGATTTTGTCTCAAGGAATCTCGATATTGTCAATACCGATGATCTTAACTCTTCCATTCCAATGCAAGGGGATTTTAGTACCTACCAACTTGGTATGTTTATTCATGGTACTTGTTATACTTTTATTGTGTCAATAGATTTCTCTGTTGATTTGCATTGCCTACCTAACATTAGCAGTTCTGCAATTATCGATGTCTACTTCAATTTCTCTACAATCCTCAATGGAAATGTAATCAGTAACATGCTTCATTTTTTCTTCCATCGTGCCTGTGGTAAGGCTGCCACAATAATAATAATAATAATAATAATAATGAATATTATTCTATTTTTTAACTGCAGCATTTTCAATGGCCAATGCTACACTTAACAGTACTGCTCCTCCAACTTCAAGACCAAGAGAGATTATTGATATAATAGTACCATCAGTTGGTGGCCTAGTGTTACTAACATTAGTTGTAGCAGTGGCTATGATCATTTGCTGTTGTGTCTCCATTAAAAGAAAGAAGACAGCTGTGAAGAAACTTGAAGAAATGAATGCAAGTATTGAAAGAAATCGAACTGTGTCTGCCAGCATTAATGCCTACACTGCAATCCAGAGTTTGATGTCTGTTAGGAATCCATTTGAGATTCTCTCTGATTGTAATCTCGAATATAACTATGCTTTGTTGAAAGTACTGGACAAGATCGGTGAGGGATTCTTTGGAGATGTCTACAAAGGAACAGCTCCAGGTCTCTCCTCTAGTTTTGTAGCTATAAAAACTCTAAAGAACAACTCAGACCTGGACACGCTGGAAAAGTTTGCTAAAGAAACTTGGACATGTTCTAAATTTGATCACGAGAATGTCATCAAGCTCTTAGGAGTTTGTACTTTTGGAGCTCAAAAGTGTATGATATTCCAATACATGGACCTTGGCAGTTTAGATAAACTATTACGTAAATCCTCACCTTCTTCTCCAGATTATAACTCTGAGGATGACCACTTGCTTACTCCGTACCAATTCCTCAATGTGTCCATTCAATTAGCTAGAGGATTAGCATATCTGTCTTCTCTTGATTTTGTACACAGAGACATTGCCTCAAGGAACTGTCTACTGGACTCATCATACACTGCTAAGATTGCTGATTTTGGACTCTCAAGGAATATTGGTGGAAACAATTACTATCGTATCGGGAGTGGGAACAACCTCCTGCCAATTAGGTGGATGCCCCCAGAAGCAATATTCTTCAGTACTTTCACCGTGAAGAGTGATATATGGTCCTTTGGTGTTCTATTGTGGGAGATATACACGTATGGTAAGCTACCTTATGGTGGATTGAGCAATCATGAAGTGATTGATAATGTCAGAGGAGCTAAGATTCTTGATAAGCCAGACCTGTGTCCACTGGGAGTCTACGATATCATGAGATCCTGTTGGTACCAGGTACCAGCTAAGAGGATATCAATACAAAGCGTACTGGAGAAACTTGAGACTTACGAAAGAGGTGAAGAAATACCCCAGCATAATTATGCTAATCTAATACCGGGGACTGACTTGGCTGGTCCTTTATCAACTCCACGTCAAGTTGAAGTCGAGATGACACCTTTCAGTACACCTCGCTCTAGCAGTTATAGAGCCAGTATGGAGATAAATTCAGAATTCATGGACAGTGCTATAATTACTGCCATTGAAGAAGATGGGGAAGAATTAGCTAAAATATTGTCAATGAGTCTGAAATAACAATACATTTTATTTATTTGTGCTTTGCTAAGTATCATGCTGTGCTTGAATTTTCTGCAGGAAAGGGTGTGGCTGCCCTTGGTGGGTGCGGCTCAAATATGCAATGATCTATGACCCACAAGCACTTAACAATTCTTTTCTACTCAAAGATAAAAGCCACAGTTGTTATCATAATGTCGTGTTGGATTGAATGCTTGCCAAAGGGGCCCCACAGCCCCTGGGAAGGTCTGAGAGAAAAGCCATTACTCACTCGTGATGAGTGTCTCACTAACAGTGAGATTGAGTGAACAGAAACAGTGACCAGAGTAGCAAGCTTATAATGAGCAGAAGATCCAAAGGAGATGCTCTGATTGCTAGCTCTCATGGCTGAAAGACACTCATGGCTAGCTACTGTAGTGCAATGGGCAAGGTGCCTTCTTCAAGGCATAACTCAATTCAGACTACTCTCAATCCACTTTTTTATCAAAACTATAATGAAGTAGACTTAGATATTCGCCCAATTTCATTTCCTTCAATAATAGTGCGTTTGCGTGAGTCAAAAGATCAAATCGCCAACGCTTTTGATTAAGAATTGATTCTATGTTAACATGAATCAATGGATAACACTATCAGTGTTAGTACACTATACAAAGTAATACAATCAAAGAAGTATCACAGTACACGATGTCATAATGACCACACTGCAGTGTGCTATTATTAGTATGGGTGTCATTGGGTGATATTATTATATTCATTAATTGTTTGCTGCTTCACAGGCATCAATCCAATCACTGTACACATCTGCTGGTTCCGATAAATCTAAAAAAATAAGTATTTTAAATTGGTTAAACTTGTGATTATTAGAGAATACTATTTCTTGTGCATGCTTTATGGGGAAACTCTATTCTCACAGTTAATCGATGTTTGAAAATCCTCGAGACAGACTTGACAGACAATCAGGCCAGTATTTCTCACTTTATCCCTGCAGCAAATAGGATATTAAAGATAATACTAGTCACAGTAATAAACATGTACTAAACTCCTCCCACTGATCTTCCCTGGTCTCCAGTCTCACTTACATCTTGACTTGACAGGATTTCTCGTGATTACAGAAAGGGCAGGTGAACTGAGTGTCCAGTGCTCCCGTCATCTTCTTCTTTGGCGGTGGCTTTCTCTTGGACTTTCTTCTTCCCATTTCTTACTTTAATTTTTAACCCCAGAGCAACCAAAAAGAAAGAACCACGCCTACAAAATGGCGGATATGTACTACAGCAATTTTTAAAATCAAAATTCTACTTAAACTGAAGTGATTATTAACAATAAAAACGTCACAAATTATTCTTTAGTCATTTTATAAGTTTCTTCTATTAAGCAAGTGTTCAGTTGCAAGCGAAAACATTTGTCTTTGTATTTCCTTTGCTTCCCTGAGCTCCTGTCTCAACAGGTTCACCTCACCCTCCACACTACCAGTGACCAGACCATCCTCCATTGAGAGGAGACAAGGTAACATAAACCGGAGGTAAAGGTAGCTTACTTCATGATCAGCAGTCAATACTCTCTCAGGCTTGAACTGATAATCTGATATGAGATCTTCTCCAGATAACAAATCAATCTCTTTAATTTCTGTTATGAAAAAAAATTGCACATTTATAGGGTAAAATTGCAACGGAAATTACTTACTCTGTGGTTGAAGCTGTATACACCAAGTTTGTGATATAAAAAGTTAAGAAATCAATTGAATGTACGACACTACAGCATGATCTTACCATGTGCAGCGGTCTGCTGTGTAGTGTGATTGTATGGGCAGAGACTGCGTCAGTTTTATAGCTAGTATGCTTCTGGAATGATTTGATGGGAGGAGTAGCAGAACCAGAAGCAGCAGCTGGCTTAGTTGAATGAAGTTGAGTGAACCTCCAAATATTTCTGCATAAGATGGAACACACAATCGGACCTATAATCATAAAGAGAGAGAGAGAGAATGAAGTTGATAAAAAACTACAAGAGCCCCTTCCTCTCTTACCTTTGTGATTAATGGATAGCAACACTTGTTTACTTGATGCATCCCAAACTTTAGATACTCCCTCCATTGAAGATGACACAAACCTCTTGCCAGTAAATGACACACATAAAGAACTGATACTCTTCCTATGATAATGATTAAAGCACAACTGAAAACAACACTTTTAAAATGTACACAAACTTATGCTCTTTCATTATCTGTGAGAATTTAGCATCAACTTGTCTCACTGCTCCATTTTCCTTACTCTACATTTAAACACACATACAATAGACACATCACATACACAATGATTAGTACTACAGCAGGTGGATGTACATGTACATGTATATACTGGGAGGAATAGAGGGGTACAGTGGAGAGTTCCTGTGCTAGACCCAGCGTATAGCCACAGCCCACAAGTCGTTAAAGTAATGCAGCTGAGTGGGGCATTATATAGAAACGTGCAGAGAATTGAACCAGAGGCAAAGTCGTAAATCTGACAAAATAAAAAGAATAAAATATAATATAAACATGTACATGTATAGCAAATTTAAATTCAAAAACTTTTAAATTTATGTACTTTGCAAGTTTGGTCGAGAGATGAGGTGGCTATTTTCTTATTATAGCCACGCCCACTTGTTGCAATACCCGTGACAGCCATACTGTGATCCGACCATATATGGAGGATGCTATTTTTAGTAACGCCAAAGGTCTTTGGAGCATTGGGATCTTCGGCACTGTGAGAACCACGATACTCAGAAAGGACGCTAATAATAATAATAATAATAATAATAAGTTAATTAAACAGCTCATTAATATTCATTACCTCGCTAAATTCCAGACAATAGCTAAGCAATCTTTTCCACCAGAGGCAAAATATCCGCAATCAACGTAACGCAAACATTCGATTGGCTGATAGTGTTTGGAAACCACACCCACCAATAACCCACTACATATCTAATGAAAATTATGAAAGTATAATTTTAAATATTCATAAGGTTAAGTAGTACCTCCCATATGTTGATTTTGTCGTTCAAAGCTCCAATGCAGTAATACCCTGTAGTATCACAAATCACACAATGTATTATACCAGTACAAGCAATTTTCATAAAGATTTGCTCCTGTAAAAGTAATTAGTAGCGTGGGCGGTAATTATGGGTGGGGCTAGATTCGTTGATTGATGTGTGACGTGGTATCATTATTATTATTATTATGACGTACTCTTTCCATTTTCCAGACTAATATGAGTGGCTTTGACTTGAGCGAGACTAAGAGATAGTCTTTGCCAGCCATTGCAAGGCTATTTCCCTCTCCCTCCCCTCCATCTCCTCTATAGGACCTCAAGACACCGCCATTTTGAATATCCCACGCTTGCACAATGGCTCCCTTCCCAGAGGAGCAGAGAGAGAAGATGACATCAGAGAAAGAATGAGTTTTAGAAGAAGAGGCCTCCATTAGGTAGCACGTGGGTGAGAAATACGGAGGGGTATACGGAAAATGCTGCAAAAATGGGCGGGAGGGGTACAGGTGGAGCTGGAGCGAACCCTATCATGGCTGATTTGTGTGATTCACTTTTTCTCACGTTTTCGAGGACTTGAAGGAAAGAGAAAGAGTATAGAGAAGGATATAAAGAAGAGGAATGCAGGTTTCGAGCCAGGAGTCGTTCCCCTCCTTGATTGGAGTTGGTTTGGTCGCTGATGGTAAGGACATAGTGTCCTGATGTCTTTAAAAACTCTCTCTCTCTCTTTTAGTTCTCTCTGATATACCTCTCCCAGTCTGTAAAGTCACTCCATTGGAGGCTACAGTTCTTGGCAAAGGCAGTGAATTGAATCTCAACACTCTGAATAATTCAGACCCCGCCTTCTCTCAAAAAATCAACGAAGCGCTTAAGTCTGTCGATACCAGCTTCCTGTAAGCCAAATTACCTCATTAGTGGCCTTTTTATTAATAATACATGTACTTTATTGTTGAAAACATTACAAATCTAATAAGATGTTTATATACATTGTAAGTATGTAATGAATTTAGTCATTATTTCTCTTTTATTTTTTATCTATGCCACCTATTATTTTTAATAATAATAATCTCTCTCTCTCTCTCTCTCTCTCTCAGTAAACTCAAAGTGACTCCTCCTAATCCCAACAGATACAAAGCTTACTGCTCCTCATCTCCAGCTCTCATTAAATCCCTATTGTTTGGCATGTCACCTCAACCTAAGCTACAGTTGAAGAGAGTGGACACGAGTGGACTCACTCCAACAGGGACACCAGGAGACACACCAACCACTAAGCACCCTCTAAACCCAGGTAATAATGATAATAATAAATAATAATACTTATATCTTTATACACTCTTAATGTGATCTAACGTAGCTAGGTGCATGTATCTTGTAAAGCACTTAAATTAAATTGAACTTAATAATCATTTTTAACGAAATTTTCCCACCTGAGTGAGTTTGACACCTCCAGACGCTTGGAATTTGAAAAATGTAGCCTACGTCACCGATGACGGTCTTATAATGATATTCATGAAGTCATGCGTCACGGATGACGTCTTATAATGATATTCATAGAAGCATGGTGATATTTTACAGCTGCGTGGTTGGCCCGTGTTTCACACTTCAATGGGTGGCTTTGTTTGTTCTGATAAGCAGTACAATAGCTGCTGGAGTCAACTAGTCTTCGTAATAGCCATCATTATCAGAAGATCTCACGCTCTGTTAGCTTTTAAAAAGAAGAATTATCAGTTTGGGCGCTCGACCACATGTTCTTAGTTCTTATGTAAACTATGACGTAAACAAAAATTGTCATAAAAAGTCATTTTGGTATGCCATTGGGTTTATAGGGAAAACCCGGTTCTCAGGGTTCCCAAGGGCTGAGAGACCCAAGACCTGAGATCCTGTGATGGCATTGGGCGACTAAGAATCTGTGAAAGCCTCATCCTTATCCCACATTCCTATAAAAAGTTGTTCCAGTTTTTCTTGAGTCAAACTCATTTGGGATATAGTATATTATATCCAAAATCTTAATGCAGGTCATTATTTATCACTATTCTTTTTTAAAAATAGATTCGTTTTTCACTTCTGGTCAAAAGCAGGCTAATGATGTTGATGCCACGCCCATTCCTTCCAAAAGGAGGCGTGGCTCATCAATCCATTCATCAGATCCTTTGAAGAAGAGAGCTAGAAGGCTATTGGACGAGGATGATGATGATACTAAAAATAGTAACAAAGGGATGGAGCAACTTGTTGTTACTATAAATAGATCCAGTTACGAACAACCGAAAAAGAAAAAACCTAAGAGAGTTTCACAGCCAAAAAGTAAGTGAAAAGATTAATTAATTTATTTATTAATTTATTTATTATTATTATTGTTAGGTTCTTTTACTAATTCTCCCTTTACTGTGTCCATATTGAGATCAAAACTACAGGCTCCTCCTCTCCCCATTTCTCCTCCTCCTCCTCCCCTCTCTCTCCCTCTTGCTCTCCCCCGACGATCAATCGGTTCCATTAGCGACGGGTTTGAAATTGCCCCGGGGGTAAAAGACGACCCTCTTCCCCCCCAGAAGAAAAAGAAGAAAGAAAAGAAGAAAATAAAACTATCAAGACCACAAGGTACCAGTGTATACTTATAGATTATGATTATACAGTACATGTACATGTACATTGTGCTACTGTTAATCTTTAATGTATTTGTAATGTCTCTTACCTCCAGATCCCACTCATATTCTGTACATACAGCACTACATGCAGTTCATTGGATCATTACTAGGAGATCATTTAGGTATAATCTCTCTCACTATGTATTCTGTGGTACTTGTTCATTATACTATTATCATTAATTGTTGTTGCATTTTTTGTTAATTAGATTTATTTAGTAAGCCAGCAGTGTCACAGGTATTATCTGAGACTATCAAATTAAAGCAATTGGGGGTGCTACATGAGGTACTGTATATACATGTAGGATCAATTACAAAACTTTTATCTTCTCTCTCCCTCCTTCCCTCTCCCCCCCCCTCTCTCTCTCTTTCTCACACATCATGTACATCAGGTAAAGCCCTCACTGCTAGTTAAGTTAATATCAGTGATGGATAAACATGTACTGGACACTGCATCACTACTGCTATCAGTACCACCAGTGAGTTAACACTGCTGTTAGTATTAATTGTTAGATACACATGTTCTTTATATTGAAAGTTTATAATATAGCAGCTATAATGTATACATGCATTATTATTATTATTATTATTTATTATTATTATTATTATACATGTATTTACATGTACATGTATTATTAATGTTATTATTAATATTCTTTTTTGTTATTTTTTAAAGGAGGAAGATGCTGATCAAAAGCATTGGAGGGAGACTAACAGAGACCGTATCTTAAGATCACTGGATGCTAGTCTCATCATACTACACATTACCACGTCTCCAAGAGTATCTGCTGAAGTGCAGTTGGAGGAGTCCATTGATCAAGTCATATCACATACTAAGTATCACCTGGAGAATAACATATATCCAGAGTTTGATCTTGTGTATAGGAATGATGGGAAAGGTGAGGTTAACTAGGACAACTTTAAAAATTTGTAAAAAAATCCAAATTTGATCGGAATCAGCTCAAACTTTCTACGCAACATAAGTACTTGTATATGTATCAGGAAATGTAATAAAAATGGAGAATTCTCTACTTTTTATTTTTGATGAAATTTGACTCAAGACCATGTACAGGGACTTTGGCCCGATTTTGGAGCAACTTTAAAAATTCGTAAAAAATCCAAATTTGATCGGAATCAGCTCAAAATTTCTACGCATCATAAGTACATGTATATGCATCAGGAAATATTATAAAAACGGAAAATTCTCTACTTTTCAATTTTGACAAAATTGGACCAAAGTCCCTGTACTATGGGACACAGGGACTTTGAGCCAATTTTGGAACAACTTTAGAAATTAATATACAGATGTTCATGTAATTCATTCCTTCTTTATTCCATAAGCAGGAACTGGTGCTCTTGCCAAGCAGAAGAGACGGTACACCAGTGCCGCCAGTATAATGTCCAATAAAGTCCTCATGTCAGTTTATAACAGGATGGTAGAAGTGATGGACACGTTAGCACAACTATTAGGGACCCAGGCACTAACTGACATGACTGTATTAAAGGTAGGGGACTAATAGCAACTTGTACATGTACAGACTAGCCTCTATATAATGGACACTTTGACAGTGTCTCTGTTATACAGAGGTGTCCTTTATGTGGAGGTTATTTATACAGTAAGGAATGTAATTGGTACACTAGGTGCTGTCCGTTAAATGGAGGTGTACGCTATAGAGAGTGTCCATTAAGAGAGACTATACTGTATTTAAACATTGTACATGTACATATACTACTATATGATTTACCGTATAGCTGGTTTATTTCGTGTGGAATTAATTTTCGTGCAGGCTCAAATCCACTAAAATTAATTCCACTAAATTTTATTAAAACCAATTAAATATTAACAAAAATTTAGCAAGGCACTAAAATTAATTCTAATGAAAATTTAAGCAGCAAAAATTTGAGGCCACGAAATAAACCAGCTATACGGTAATTGATACCCTCTCTCTCTCTCTCTTTTAGTTGTCAGGTTTGGGTATATTCCCATTCTTTGTTGAAAACATCAGCTCATTGCAGCTCAGTGCTCTCAAACTTGTTAGAACTGTAAGATCAACAACTAATAATAATAATAATAATAATAATAATAATAATAATAATAATACATCATTTATGAGTCTTCATATACTCAATGTATCATGCTTTTATTTCTGTAATTTCTTGTAGATATTTTCTCGTTACGAGAAGCACAGAGACCTTATAATAGAGGACATATTTGCCTCGTTAGGGAGACTACCCACCACGAAGAGAAACCTAAGAAACTTTCGGTACTAACCCCCTTTTAGCTTGACTTCCATATAAGGAATGTACATGTACATGTACATGTACTGTAGTTGTGTGGATTTTGTTAGCATACATGACATGTATTACATGTAGATAGATGCATTCAGTATGCATGTACATGTACTACTGAACACTAGCTTCTATTAACTTTAATCTCTTTTTCTTGTCTCTCTCTCTATAGTTTATCTAATGGTCAGAGTATCCAGATGGTAACGGCACTGCTCCTACAGTTGGTCCAGTGTATCGTAACTCCTCCGGACTCTAAGTCTTCAGGAGAAGAGGAGAACCAGGACCCTAAGAAATCCAAAGTGAGCCGGCCACTAATGATCCACTGAAATTATAATATTATTATTATTATATAAATTATTTTATTTTATTTATTTTTAGGTGACCAAGATGTCAATTGATGTAGCAATGATCGGTAGTTATGAAATGGCCATGAAGATCAGCTCAAAATTCCTCTTAACATTAATGAAAAAGTAAACCCCATCATTAGTAAAGAAACTACATGTACATGTACATGTTTACCTCCTCCTTTCCCTCCCTCCTCCTCCTCTCCCTTAGGTGTTGTGGTCCTAAAGTTGACGAGGACTTTAGACCTCTATTCGATAATTTCGTTCAAGATCTCCTCACGACCCTCTCCCTCCCTGAATGGCCTGCGTCAGAATCACTCCTCATGCTCCTCGGGATGCAACTGGTAAGTGGGCCTCAAGACCACACCTACTGACTCCACCCATTTAATTAGATCCAGGCGTCCAGTGATCGTAGTAATGAGCTCCAGTTGAGACTCACGTCATTGGAACATTTAGGATCCATTGCCTCTAGACTGAGGAAGGACTCCATTAGTTCAATTGATGAGTCGTCACATGAAATGTTGATTGACATATTATCAGAAGTGAGTGGAGAGAGAGAGAGAGAGAGAGAGAGAGAGAGAGAGAGGGAGGGAGGGAGGGAGGGAGAGAACGTACATGTACATGTACATGTATGCTAACTTGATTTGTACATGTACATGTACATGTATACATTAATTATTTTGTAGATAATGCAGAAGAAGTTGGATGGAATATCTCCTCTACCATCCCCAACTGGACTAAATAGAATGGTACAATTAAAACATGTACATGTACATGTACATTTACTCTTTCTTAGGATGCTTTCTCAGAAAATGCTAGACACTTACAAAAGACGTTGATAGCTTATCTAACACATAAGACTCAGAGTGATCCATCCTCTGCAGTAAGAAACCTAAGATTAATGATTAAATAATAGTTTAATATTGTTCTACAATAACAACAATAATAATAATCCATACATATTTAAAGTTATTGCAGGATTAAGCATGCATGTTCATGTACATATAACTTAATAAAATTATATATATACATAATTTTATTATTGTACTAATCTCCCTATACCCCTCCAGTATGCTAAAGGGTTTTATGTTGGTCTCTGGTTGCACGACAATCAAAATGAGTTGGAGAGGATCCTAAAGTCAGCCGGTTCATCATCGTCTCTCCTCTTACCAGGAGAGGAAGAGAGAGAGGCAGAGTTAGACATGACAGGGAAAGCTGTTCACCAAGCCGAGAAGAACAGAGACTTCTTAATCAGCTTATTACAACCAATGTCTTCTGCAGTACTGAGGTAGGTATGCATGTAGTATGTACATGTACATGTACATGTATGTTTTTGATTCATTTTATTTATTTATTTTCTCTTAGGCATATTATTAGTTGTTTATAGTGACTTTATTATTAATTCATTTAATTTGTTTTTTTCTTATTATTCTTATTATTATTATTATTACTTTTCTTTTTCCTTTATTATTATTATTATTATTATTATTATTATTATTATTATTATTTTATTTTTTCTCCCAGTCAATTATCCAGTATATTAGACGAACAGAAATCAATTCTAGTCACTCGATATTTATCAAGTGAAAAAACTTTCAGCAAAACCTTCGACCTCTACTTAGCCAGTGTAAGAACTCTCATTATAATTATGTAAGATCCACTCAAATTTTTTTATAGCTATTAAAAATTTTAAATGAGCCGTCTGTGCATGTAAGAACCAAAGCAATGAAAGCTCTTTCGGCCATTGTCACGTCAGATCCGGACATTCTATCAAAAGTAGGTCTATCGGCCATTGTTTCTAATTAGTGCCCCTTTCTCACAGCCGGATTTAAAGAGAGCCGTCCAGAGCAGGTTTTCTGATAGCTCAACTTTAGTGAGGGAAGCAGCTGTGGAGTTGATTGGACGATTTGTACTGGTGCAACCAAAACTGACAGAACAGTACTACGAAATGTTAATGATTAGAATACGGGTATGCACTGAGTTATACTGAGATTTACTGAGTTATACTAAAAATTTTATTGCAGCTTTGTGTTAATATAATTATTGATTTTATTCTACATGTACATGTATACATGGATCTTTTAAAATATGCAAATTTTTACTGAGTTTTACTGTAGTATACTGACTCGTTTTTAGGATTCTGGTGTGAGCGTCCGTAAGAGAGTTATCAAGATATTGAAGGACATTTGTGTGAATCAACCTGACTTTGATAAAGTGACTGAGATCTGTGTTCAAATTCTGCGAAGAATACTGGATGAAGAAGGAATAAAAGTGATAGAGAGAGAGAGAGGGAGGGAGGGAAAGGCAGTACTATACATCTAGTTTAATTTCTTTTGTTACTCTTAATTTTTCTTCTTCTCCTCCAGCAATTGGTTACTGTTATCTTCTATCAGTTGTGGTTCACCTCTCCAACTACTGAGCAAACAGATCAACAGGAAACACTAGCTAAAAGAGTCAATGATATCACATCAGTGGTATGCAGTATACATGTACATGTACTTAAGAGAGAGAAAGGGAGAGAGTTTTATAATACAAAATGTATATTGCATACATTCTACATAATTGTACTGTACTAACTGCAGATATCCAAATCTACTACTGAACAAGAATGCTTTGAACTCTTACTACAAGAAGTAAGAAAATAGAAAGATTTATTATTTATTTATTTGTTTGTTTGTGTTTGCAGCTTATAAAGAATACGGAGTTGATGCCTTCAGTATTATCAATGTCACGTCTGCTGGTAGACAGACTAATAGAACAATTACTATCACTTGATGAAATATCAGGTACATTTTATTATTATTATTATTATTATTATTATTGTTATTATTATTATTATTATTATTGTAGAGCATAAGACGTCCACAGGTCTGGTTAGCTGTGTGACGGCACTTTATTTATTTTCAAAGATCCGACCGTCATTCCTAGTACCTCATGCTAAAACCCTCCTACCATATTTATCATCAAAGTGTTCTGTATGTATTATAATATTAAATATTGACTATTTTATAACTGTGATCTCTATCCCCCCCTCTCTCTCTCTCTCTGTAGACAGAAGAGGATATATCACTAGTGACTAACACTGTTATGATACTGGAGTCAGTTGTGCCATTATTGGTAAGACCTTCAGACTCGTTCCTTTCATCGCTACAAGAGGAGCTGATCAAACACATCATGGTACAGGGACCACTGGTAAGATGATCCTAGTACCCTGTACTATAGCCCATGGTTTTTTTCAAAAAATGGCTAAAAAATGACCCCCAATTTTTATTACATTTTCTGATACATATTGATGTCCTTATGCTGTGTAGAAAGTTTGAGTCGATTCCGACTTCAATTTTTCAAGTTATGGCCATTTTAAGAAAATGCCAAAAATCTGAAAAGTACCCAAGGCTATAGCCCATGGTTTTTTCCAAAAAATGACTAAAAAATGACCCCCAATTTTTATTACATTTTCTGATACATATTGATGTCCTTATGCTGTGTAGAAAGTTTGAGTCGATTCCGACTTCAATTTTTTAAGTTATGGCCATTTTAAGAAAATGCTAAAAATCTGAAAAGTACCCAAGGCTATAGCCCATGGTTTTTTCCAAAAAATGACTAAAAAATGACCCCCAATTTTTATTACATTTTCTGATACATATTGATGTCCTTATGCTATGTAGAAAGTTTGAGTTGATTCCGACAAAAAAATTTCCAAGTTATGGCCATTTATATATCCTTTATATCCATTATTCCCTGTAGATAGTACAGTCTTGTGTTAGTTGTTTATCAGTTGTTGTCAATAAGGTGTCCAAGAACTACAAACTCGTTGATCAGTGCTACAAGAAATTCTACAGTAAGTCTTCATGCATAGTACACATACATTTATGTACATACCATGTAATTTGTCTATTTTTTCTCTATTTTTCTAAAGATTATCTTCAAAAATTCCAAGAGCAGTATAAGAGGGATCCCAGTATAGGACAGAAATACAAGCAGTCCATTCTTCGGTCGCTCTACTCCCTCGGTCTCTTCTCTAAGAACTTTGACGTCGATAGGATAACTGGTACTAACAATAATGACACAGGAAATGAAGAAGTACATGTTTTGTTGTTTGTTGTTGTTGTTGTTGTTGTTATTGTTGTTTGTTTTTTAGAGTTCAAAGTTGTATTCGAATTTCATTTATTTTTGTGAATATAATGATCCTGAAATTCAAAAAAGAGCTTTATTTGCACTAGGTAAATTCGTATATTATTATTATTTTTATTGCATATATATATATTTTTTTATTTTATTTTTATTTTTAGGTCATCTTTGTATTCGTCGCCCCCAATACATGCTAAGAGACGAAGCAAAGAAACTTTATTTTAAATACCTCTCACCTGAAGCACCTTTAAAAATCAAATATCAAGTAACTACTGGAATTAATATTTATATTCTCTCATTCATTTATTGTACTGAGGATAGAGTTCTTATCTTTTATTTCTCTTTTATTTTTTGCAGGTTATTTTTAATATTAAGTCACATTTAATTGAGATTGAGTCTACCCTGAAAGCAGCCGATGCCCAAAGTAAGTACATGCACAGTAAAACTCTGCATATTCTAGTAAAACTTAGTAAAACTCAGTGTAGCTCAGTAAAACTCTTTTGTTTCAGGACTGAACCAATCCGAAGATGATACTAACTTGTTAGAAATTGGCGACCAGCAGTCAAGGTAATGGAGAGAGAGAGAGATCTTTAAGATTAATATTCATTAATTTAAAATTAACTTGCATATATAATTTATAATAATATTGCAGCTAAATCTTCCTTTCGCTGTATTGTTAAACAATTTTTAAAATGTAATCTCTCTCCTTTTTTCTCTCTCTCCTTCTCTCTCTCCTTCTCTCCCCCCTCTAGTGTCAGCAGTAACATAGCACAGATGTACCTCACTTCAATACTAGATGCCCACTACACTACAGACCCATCAATAAGACTGCTAACCACACAGACTATACTAGTAATACTGAGACAAGGGCTGGTTCATCCAGGGCAGTGTGTCCCCTATCTCATTGCTCTTAGCACTGACCCTGAGGCCAAAGTGAGGAATATCGTGGAACCACAGCTACTGGAACATAGCACTAGATATGGTGGATTTATGCAAGTGAGAACCTATTTATGTAGCTATTGGTGCATGTATAACATACTCATATAATAGGAGAATTGTATATGATTATTTTTGGAGAATTTTTTAGTGTTTTTCAGCTTTTTTGACACTGTACATTGCAGAAATATTGCTAAAATATTTTACTTATAAAATGAATGTTTATTTAATTTTTAATTCTTGTAGACTCACCTAACTCTTGGCATAAAGAAAGCTTACCAGTTTCAATTACTCACATCATCAGTAAGTCCATACATGTACATTGTACATTATACACTTTTGTTATATTCATTTCCTTAAAGTTGGTTGCTAGAGGTTATTCCGATCAGTCCGGCAGCTCTCTCCTCTCATATTTGTATTCTCTCGTTCGTTCAAGTAAGCCTCAGCGGCGTGGGTTCTTGCAAGCCGTCCTGAGACCTTTTGAAGACTATGAGACCAACTCGCTAGGCCTCCTCCTCTTCCTTGCCGATAATCTGGGGACTTTCCCTTACTTGGTTTTTGAGGAGCCCCTGTTTGTTATGCACAATGTTGATATAACGATATCAGTTACTGGAGCTAGTGTATTACAGGCATTCAGAGAGGTGTGTGTGTGTTTTATGTGCTGCATGTATTATGTAATAATTTGTGCATAAATCTACTTATATATTTATATGTGTATGTAGCATATGCATGTAAGTTTATTGTTTAAATTTTTTGTTGGTATTTATTGTTGTGGTTTACAAAATTTTTGTTAAATAAAGCAGCTATACTGTACTTAATTTTTTATTCATTTTTTGTTGTTGTCATGTGCTGTATGCAGGCATTAGGACAGTCAGGATTAGCTGCTGCTGATGACAGAGAAGATGATTCAGAGCAAGAAGAGGACATTGAACAATTGTGTAAGTACACATACATGTAGCTCTCTTTCTCCTTTTGATGATTATATAATGTCCTGTTTTTAGTAAGTGAATACTTGTATAATCTCTTTCTTTCTCTCTTTTTTCTGCAGCACAAAACAGTTATGATCTAAAGCAGTTAAATGACTGCTGCAGGTCTTCATTGGGTTGTATACTGCTGCTGTTACTGAAGCAGCACCTTAGGCAGGTCTATGCACTCAGCGATAAGTAAGTGGAAAAATGAGTCGTTTTCTGAAAAGTTCCCTGTACTATATAGCCCATGGTTTTTTTCAAAAAATGACTCCGAAATCACCCTCAATTTTTATTACATTTTCTGATTCATATTGATGTTCTTATGCTGGGTAGAAAGTTTGAGGTGATTCCGACTTCAATTTTTCGAGTTACAACCATTTTAAGAAAATGCCAAAATTCTAAAAAATGCCCTATACTATAGCCCATGGTTTTTTCCGAAAAATGGCTAAAAAATGGCACTGAATTTTATTACATTTTCTGATACATATTGATGTTCTTATGCTGTGTAGCAAGTTGCAACTTATAATTTTCAAGTTACAGTATATATACTATTTCTATCCTTGAAGGAAGTGTCAAGAGTATACTCCAACTGACAGTAACAAGGTCTGGGAGAAGGCAGTCTCTCGGAGACAAGGTATTCTGTATGAGCCTCAGGCAGTAGTCAATGCTGTTGAGAAGGACAGGAGAGGAGAGAAGACTCAACTGGGGAAAGAGGAATGCTTGAAACTTTACTTACATGTAAGCAGAAAACCTATTGATACAAAAAATATTGCCGTATGGTGCAAAATTTGATTGCTATAAATTTTGTGAATTTGCCTAGAAAATAATTTTTGCAAAATTATGCTGTCTGCTATCTTGTGTGGTATTAAATGCTACTTAATTTTTTGATAAGGAAGACCTATTTTGTTTTATTTTTTATAGTTCAAGAGGCTAATGAACAGACTTGATCCATTTGATGCTACCGATGATGATGATAATGTTGAATATATTGAATTACCACCTCCTGGTTCTAGTACATCCCTACCACCGCCAATAATCTTACCTCCTCCAAATCAAGATAAAGTATAAGAATATACTTAATAATAATAAATAATAATATTAAGATGTTGCTGTTTCTGGAAATTTTTACTATAACTTTTAATTTCCGGAAATTTGCAAAAAAATCAGATCAAGCATTACAATTGCATGTCACATTTAAGAAAACATACCGGTAGTTAATTTTGTCCCCTTTTTGACAATCTTTCCTCTACAGTTATTAGTACCCCATAGCAGTGTTCATCCAGCAATGAAGCAAGGGAGTAGATCAAGGACTTCATCAACCAGTTCCACCAGGAGTGGAACTCCAGCATTGAAAAGAAATAAAGAAAAGAAATCTAAATCAGCTAAAAAGAAAAAGAAAATAATGGTATGTGTATAGATCTACATAAGTTCTGATTGTAAGCACTGGACTACATGTTCATGTACATGTATATAGTGCATACCATTGAGGAACTTTAAAAATTTGTAAAAAAAATCCAATTTTGATCAGAATCAGTTTAAACTTTCTACGCAACATGAGCACTACTTATATATGTTACATAGAAAGTTTGAGCTGATTCTGATCAAAATTGGATTTTTTTCTTATGAATCTTTCAAGTTTCTCCAAAATTGGGCCAAAGTCCCTGTACTATAGTACAGGGACTTTGGTCCAGTTTTGAAGCAAATTTCAATATAATGTATACATGTATATAATAATTATATAGAGAGTATTATCAGATGATTCAGATTCAGGCAATGAGTGGTCATGACATTATTGAACCACTTCATACAGGAACTATGACTTCATATTATTATTATTATTATTATTATTATTATTATTATTATTATTATTATTATTATTCCAATTGATTATGCAGTTAATCACTCATTTATTCATTCAATGATTTTTCCTAGCTATCTCTCTCTGTATGACATTATATAACATCTCTCAGTCTCTCTTCTCTCTCTCTTATTTATATCATTGTGTTAATTCATTTCCCTATGATGATTATAAAACATACCAGTTAATAGTACACTCGTTACTGATGTATTGTTGTATTTGTACTTCTTTTTGATAATCGAATAACAATGATAACTGATAGCTAAATAATAACTGACTCAATAATTAAATCACAAGCACTTATATACACAACAAAAATACACCAAGAAAGTTCTAGAATAGTTTAGATACCTACAGACAGAAAATGAAAAGTACTTACAGTAACATACAGAGTACATGTAACTAGAATGTTCCAGATAGATGAGTGTAGGGTTCCAGAGCTTTCTGATGAAGATACTACATGTATGTTATTACATGATTCCTACCTTAACCTTTGTCTGTGTGGGTTGTACTCAAGAGTTCATTGATATCATCATGAACTCTTATCGTTAAAATACTACAGTTATTTTAACAGCTACATAGTCTCAGCTTTATCATTGAAGCGTAACTTGTACAGGTTGTATTCTTTGCTTTCTTTTCTACTGAAGTTTAAGGACAAGGTGGCATACAAGACATGCAAAGTGTTTGCAATGACAGTGAAGGTAGTTATGATGAGAGGAAAGTGGACAGCATAATGGAAGGAGTTGGTGGTGGTCTAGGAGCCATAACATGTACAGTGGCACTGGTCTTTGCAATAGTCAGTAGATTCTATAAAGATATTGTACAAAGACTGATATTGTACAAACTGGTGGCAATGTTAGTCTTCTCGCTATCTCAGTTGCTGTTTGGTATACACCAGTGTGATGATGATCGCTCAGACACATATAAAGTATTATCGTTAGTTATTCCACACATTGCCTACTGTGTTAACCTAGCATTGACATTCTGGTTAACCATTATTCTGTATTTTTGTATTGTACGCCTCAAGGAACTGAAAAACTTTAAGAAATTGGAACCAATTGTAGTAATATCTTCATGTCTTCCTTTGGCTATAGCTGTGTATGTTCCATTTCTTAGCTATAACGATAGCTCAGGAAAAATTACGGTTCAATTCTCAACAGAAGGAAATAATGAAATGCTATATGTATTAATACCTGGCTATGCCATTGCCGGGATATTATACTTTATATTATCAATATTAGTTATTATTATTTGTATTGTAGCAATTAGAAGATCTTTTTGGAAATATGATAATGATACAGCAGAGTCTCTACTACTGGCTACTAATAATAAATGGAAAATGCTCAGCAAGCAGTTACTACCACTAGTGGTGTATCCAATAGTTAATGCAGTAGCAGCACCACTTTTCTTCCCACTTTTAGTGCTGCACTTTGATGGTAATAACTCTAAAGGCGTGTTTCTCTATTCGTTAATATCCTCTTCTGGTCTAATCACTGGTATTATTGTCATAATACATCTTTGTATATTGAAGTGTAAGAAGAAACAAAGAGAAAGGAAGAGAATGAAACAGAATGATAAGGAACAAGAAGCTCTTTGTATAGTGCCTAATCATTATACTGATGTCTTTACAAGTGAAACAGTTGCTTCAACAAATGCACACACTACATACAGATTCACTCGTACATCAAGTTTTATAACGACTGTTTAATTAAATCTATCTAAAATCATTTTTGTTATATAGTGAGATCCATTTTGTGTGATGGTTAGCAAAACAATTTTTACACTGTATAGACTATAGTTGCACATTGTGCACATAATATCTAGTGTTTGATGCTATAGTGAGATGAGCTAGCAAATTTGTACCAAGTTACAATGTTACAAAATCATTCAATGATTTTTCCTAGCTATCTCTCTCTGTATGACATTATATGATATCTCTCAGTCTCTCTTCTCTCTCTCTCTTATTTATATCATTGTTAATTCATTTTCCCCTGATGATTATAAATACGTCACTAGATCTAAATGTATAGCTATTCTATTAGTTTAATATTGTTCATGATTACATTGGGCAGTGACCCACTGATGTGTTATATACTATTGCATGACTTGTTTCTTTATACTACTGTCAGTATTCATGTGACTTCTTATCTTCTTGTAAAACTACTATGTTGTTTATACATGCAAGGTAAGTTTGCATAATTGTTGCAGCTTATCTGAAAAAGGTCATCCCTTTTTATGCCGGAAGTTTTTATGAGTGTAAGAAATGGCTGACTGTACTAATAATATAGTTACTGTAATAGAAGGAGTCTTTGGTGGTCTTGGAGTCATAACATGTACAGTGGCCCTGGTCTTTGCAATAGTCAGTAGATTCTATAAAGATATTGTACAAAGGCTGATAGTGTACAAACTGGTTACAATGTTAGTCTACTCTCTATCTCAATTTCTGTCTTTTAAATATGATGACTCACAGACATATAGCTGTTGCTATATTACTACCTCAAACTGCCTACTATATCAACCTGGGATTCACCTTCTGGCTAACCATTACTCTCTATCTTTGTATTGTACACCTCAAGGAACTGAAAAACTTTAAGAAACTGGAACCAATTGCAACCATAACGTCATGCCTCATTCCTCTTGTGAGTGCTTCTTTGATTCCGTTCACCCATGTTGACTGCTCAGGTCATAAATTGATGATTAGCTTTTCAAATTCAACAATGGATCCAAATAACTTGATCCTCTACATAATTGGTTATGGTACTGCTGGGATATTATACTTTATAATATCAGTACTAGTCATTATCATTCTTGTAACTACTATCAGAAGATCACAATTACATAACCAAAGACAACAGATCAATGATGGTGAACCAAGTGAAGCAGAGTCTCTTCTGGTCACTGATAATAAATGGAAAATACTCAGCAAGCAGTTACTGCCACTAGTAGTGTATCCAATAGTTAATACAGTAATGGCGATCATCCTTTACCCACTGTTAGTGCTCTATTTTAATGGTAGTACTTCTAAAGGTATGTATTTCTATTCATTAATGTCCTCTTCTGGTCTAATCACTGGTATTATTGTTATAATGCATCTTTGGATATTGAAGTGTAAGAAGAAAAAAAGAGAAAGGAAGAGATCCCAAAAAGCTTACTATTTCCATTATGCATCTAACAATCATGATGATGTCTTCACAAGAGAAACAGTTGCCTCAACAAATGCAAAAACTACATATCAATGCACTCATACATCAAGTCTGACAACTAGTGATGAACTAGTTGAACTAATTTGATAAATAAAAAAATAGAATTTTAAATAATTTATTGAGTAGAAATATAGGCCTAAATCTGAAATACTTGTGTTGCATGTGAGTCATTTGCTAACAAACTAATGTTTTATAAGTAGGTAGATACATAGAAATATTAAGCATTAATTTTTTGTGATTATTGACTTGTTTAGCAACTTAATTTTTTTAATTTTCTACACTTAATGATTTACTCCCTGAGTTCACAAGATTTTTATGTACCAATTTCAATGATAGTGCACATGTATCTTGTGACACAACTATTGTTATTCTTATCACTCATATCACCTGCAGTGAGCCTAAGGCAGCAAATTTGTATCAACAGCTCCTCCTTCAATTCTCTTCTATGCTTTCCAAGCATTTTCAAGGTTGAAGACAAGAAATGGGTAATTGTGTCGATAAAAATGTTGCCATAATACAAGGAGTCTTTGGTGGTCTAGGAGCCATAACATGTACAGTGGCACTGGTCTTTGCAATAGTCAGTAGATTCTATAAAGATATTGTACAAAGACTGATAGTGTACAAACTGGTGGCAATGTTAGTCTACTCTCTATCTCAATACATATATTATATTGGTTATGTTGACTCAAAGCATGGAGCTATCATTGTAATGCCTCAAATTCCCTACTATACCAACTTGGGGTTCACTTTCTGGTTAACCATTACTCTATACTTATGTATTGTACGCCTCAAGGAACTCAAAAACTTTAAAAACCTGGAACTGATTGCAGTCATAACATCTTGTCTCATTCCACCTATCGTGAGTGCTGCTTTGATTCCATTCACCTATATTGACTGCTCTGATCATAAACTAATAATGAACTTTTCAAAATCAAGCCAAATAAACCAAAACTGGACCCTAGGCCTTCACATAATTGGTTATAGTGCTGTTGGGATATCATACTTTATAATATCAGTACTGGTTGTGATTATTTTCATTGTAACAATCAGAAGATCAAGAAAACATCACCGAAGACAAGAAGACAATACAGCAGAGTCTCTACTGGTCACTGGTAATAAATGGAAAATACTCAGCAAGCAGTTACTGCCACTAGTAGTGTATCCAATAGTTAATACAGTAATGGCTGTGATCTTTTACCCACTGTTAGTGCTCTATTTTAATGGTAGTACTTCTAAAGGTATGTATTTCTATTCATTAATGTCCTCTTCTGGTCTAATCACTGGCACTATTGTTATAATATATTTAAGTATAGTGCAGTGTATAAAGAAACAAAGAGAAAGGAAAGAGAATGAAAGGTCACAAGTAGCTTTCTGGTCTAACAATCATGATGACATCTTCACGAGTGAAACAGTTGCTTCAACTGATGCTAGTACTACCTACCAGTACACTTGTACATCAAGTTATACACTGAGTCTATTGCCAGTGAACTAATGTTCCAATTAGATTGTGTAGAAATATTATATAGTGTATAGATCTAACTAGGCCTATTGTGTATGTGTGTATACTTAATTAATTTTGTATCAATTAAAATATCTAGATCTATTTGGTAATGGTATGTTTTTGTGTTACATTACTTATCATACAAGTGACATTTTATAATATACACAATGCATGTGATACTGCACTTTGATGACCAATAACAGTGACCATTACTCTATTATTATTATCATTCATGTTTAGATCTAATATGATAACAGCTTGTTGTTATAATAACTAGGAACCTACTCTTTGTGAAATGTGCAGAAGTCAGCAGATTTGTATAATAGATCTACTTACGTTCCTCCTACTTCACTCCTAAGGATTGTTTTGTTTTAGCAACACAACACCTTGATTTACAAGATGTATTTGTTCTCTTCTTCATCTCTTTCCTAAGATAACAACACCTCCAGCAACAGCAATTGTGATATTTGGAATACTGGAAAAACAATTACCATAATGGAAGAAGTCAGTGGTGGTCTTGGAGCCATAGCATGTACAATGGCACTGATCTTTGCAATAGTCAGTAGATTCTATAAAGATATTGTACAAAGACTGATATTGTACAAACTGGTGACAATGATAGTATTTTCATTATCTCAATTAACATCATTTGAATATGATGATGGCTCAAAAGTATTCAAAGAATTTGATATAGCTATTCTACATATAACCTACTCCTCCAATGTAGTGTTCACCTTCTGGTTAACCATTATTCTTTATCTTTGTATTGTGCACCTCACGGAACTGAAAAACTTTAAGACACTGGAACTGATTGTATTCATAACTTTATGCCTTGCTATAGCTGCATATATTCCCTTTGCAAAAAATGATCCTTGCACTCAAATAATTCATTATGTAGTGTATGGTACTGCTGGGGCATTATACCTCATAACGTCAGTACTGGTTGTCAATATATTCATTGTAACAATCAGAAGATCACGAAGACATCACCAAAGACAAGAAGACAGTGAAGCTGAGTCTCTTCTGGTCACTGATAATAAATGGAAAATACTCAGCAAGCAGTTACTACCACTAGTAGTGTATCCAATAGTTAATGCAGTAATGGCAATGGTTTTCTTCCCACTGTTAGTTCCCTATTTGTTAATATCCTCTTCTGGTCTAATCACTGGTACTATTGTTATAATACATCTTTGTATATTGAAGTGTAAGAAACAAAGAGAAAGGAAGAGAATGAAACAGAACAAGGAACAGCAAGAACCTTTCTGTATAGTGCCTAGTGATCACAATGATGTCTTTACAAGAGAAACAGTTGCTTCAACTAATGCACGTACTACATATCAGTATACTTGTACATCAAGTTTGACAGCAGTTACTGCTGATGATCAGCTACCAATTAACTAACTTTATTACTGAATTAGTAAGAAATGCTGTTTGTTTTTGCAAAAATATTTTAGAACCTAAAAGTACTACAAATATGAACATTACTGTGGGTTGGGCTCTTTAGCTTTCACATCATTGGATTGTACACAAGATTGCATAATCCTGCAACAAGAGTTTTAGCTGGTTTATTTTGTTTTATTATTGAGGATAACAACTACTGGACAGGTAGATTTCCAATTTACTCTTGGTGCAATCTCCAACTCCCTCACATGTGTAACACTGCACACATTACAATAACAACTGATGCATGTGATTAGCATGTGCATGCCTTTTGGAGCAACTTTAAAAATTCATAAAAAATCCAAATTTGATTGGAATTAGTTCAAACTTTCTACACAACACATGTATATGTATCACTGAGAAAAAAAATTATAAGAATGGAGAATTCTCTCCTTTTAATTTTGGCAAATCTTAATGCAGTTTAATCATTCAGTTATTCATTCAATGATGCTCCTAGTTATCTCTCTCTCTCTCTGTATGACATTATATAACATCTCTCAGTCTCTCTTCTCTCTCTCTCTTATTTATATCATTGTGGTAATTTATTTTCTTATGATGATTATTATAAATACATACAAATTGTCATAATAATGTTAACTATAGTACACATCATTGGTGTGTTATTACATGATTTATACTGTAATATCTGTATGTGTGGCTTGTGTAATCAAGGGTTCACTGATATCATGAACTCTTTTGGTGATATTGTACTATGTGTTATTTTAACAGCTTGAACTTGCATTAGTTTTTCTGTAACTATAGTTTTGTTGTAGGCTATTGCTTTTTCACTGCTGCAAAGGTGCCCTTTCTTTTTATCTCTTCTCATTTCTTTTTGGTCCATAAAGTCTGTAATGGGTAAAACCTGCCTAAATGATACAAATGATGAGATGATCATTGCTGTACTCGGAGTCTTTGGTGGTCTAGGAGTCATAACATGTATAGTGGCCCTGGTCTTTGCAATAGTCAGTAGATTCTATAAAGATATTGTACAAAGACTGATAGTGTACAAACTGGTTACAATGTTAGTCTTCTCTCTGTCAGAGAGTCTGTTTCTTGGATATGATGACTCATGGATATATAGAGCTGTGGCTGTATTCCTGCCTCACACTGCCTATTATATTAATGTTGGATTTACCTTCTGGTTAACCATTACTCTCTATCTTTGTATTGTGCACCTAAAGAAACTGAAAAACTTTAAGAAACTGGAACTGGTTGCAGTCATAACGTCATTCCTTCCACTTGTGAGTGCTGCTTTGATTCCATTTACTTATATTGACTGCTCTGAACATAAATAGGGTCCGCAACATGAAAAATCAAATGTTACAAAAAGGTTTCTTTACTTTATTAGCAGAACTTAGCACCTGTTAGTGTACTAAATGTACAAGAAAGAAAAGGATTCGACTCTTCTCTCTGCAGATAAATAATAATAATTTGCTTTTAATTGCCACGCCTTCTTTATTTAGGCCACTCCAATAAGATTCATAGTTTCCCATTACAGAGGCGGGCCTGATGCGGGCGGGCGGGTTTGTTCATTTTCATTAAATTTATTCATTATCAGCTGTATAAATTGCTTGTATAATCAATGAAAAACCGCAATAATGAATAGCGATGCGGCCCCATGCGGGCGGGTAATGGGAAACAAGGAATCAAATTGGAGTGGCCTTAACTTAATATTAAATTTAACTCTGTAAAAGTCCACGCTAACTTTGCTGACATTACTCGGCACAGCAGTACTGAGTCTTAGGTGAGTATGCATGACAAAATTAGACCCCTATGTTTTAAAACATTTGGCAAAAGAGCTCAAACTTTTTCTGAGGGTGAGCACACCACACAACATTTGCTTAATTATTTTGATGAAAAATGAAAAGCCCAAGTTTCTCATTGTACTGTTGTATTAGGTAGTAGTTGATAGGTTAATAGTGTAAGTACTGTGGTTATTTG